TCCGCTGTAGCCTAGCATGATGATATACGATACTCTACAATGCTGTAACAGACAGGTATGACATGACTGCACAATGCATACTGAAACAAGTTGACTGCAGTAAAACTGAAAATTTGTATTTTTTTTTAACTTGGGATTGGGGTGGGGGGGGGGGGGGGGGGAGGACAAAAGTCTATGCCAGCCTAAGTTTCTTCTAATTCTTCTTCCGCTTTTTTCTGCCTATAGACACAGGCCATCAACCAACTCATGTCCAGGTGTCCTATCCTTCACTATCGCAGGCCAGCTCACCCCATGTCGACCAATTCTTCAACTTGACTTTCTAGTTCCCTTCTCCAAGTGTTTTGGCTTATTTCTACTCACTTTTGGATACCGGCTTAAAGCCCCTCTAGTTACATGGCTCTCAACATGTGACCTATCCAACACCAGTTTCTTTTCCTCACCTCTTGTTCCCTGGAATTTGTTGAGTTCTCTCCCAAAATCTCAACATTTCTGATTCTATCCAATGTCGGTGCCTTTTCCTCATCTCTTGCTTCATTGGAATTTGTTGAGTTCTCTCCGCAAAATCTCAACATTACTGATTCTGTCTAATGGTGCTCACCTCTTCATTCTCTGTAATTTGTTGAGTTCTCTCCCAAAAGCTCAAAATTAGTGTTTCTATCCAACACCAGCGTCTTGTAATCACCTCTCAATTCAATTGAATTTTTTTTGCTTCTCTCTCAAAACTCAACAATAGTGACACCTATCATACCATTTAACTCCCTCTATTCTGCGACAGAGCAGTCCACTAGTGTCATTCAGTGGTCTCTTTCTCTGACACATGACACTGCTAGATACTCTGTGGACATATCCAATCTACTGTCCCCTACATTTTTAAAATGTCCATTCCAATTCCTCTCTTCCTACTTTGCCCTCATCCAATGACTGGGAACCTCACTCTTTACACTCCCCACCTCCCCCGTCAGATTTTAACTCCATGACTTCCAAACCCTTATGGTGCCTATAAAGAGGCAATTTTTGCCTTCGTTTGCTCTTATAAAATTCTGAGCAATCCAGTTCAAATATAACGCACTACACATCAATCATTTAACATCCTTGTTTTATTTGTTTACATAAAAGATGAAACACCGTAATGTAGTTACTACTTCATCCCCTTCCTTTTTTTCTCATTGCTGTTTGCTGATGAAGGCTTGTCACCGCAATGCCCTTTGTTCACTGTGCTGTGTTCTTTAAAGCTGACATTTACTTTGTTTTTCCTATTTTTATTTTCAAATATATACTCTAAAATGCTTTGACAGACAGACCCGACATTCAAACAATGAAGACAAATCTGCCCTGGGTCCTGCCTAAGAGCAAATTACTCTTCATTTTCTAACAAAACAACAAAAGTTACCTAACCTAGAATGGGGAGATAATGACTCCTACACAGTGATGGTTGGCTGAAGGTAAAACACAATGTGGAAAGAAATAATTTTTCTCCTACTATTATCAACAGTCAGCAGATGACGTGATGGCTACAAACAAACACTGATACAGTCGGCAACAGTTATAAACAAACAACAGCACACTTGTACCTATTTACAGACTCAGTAAAACCACCTCACAATGGACCCTCTGTAACAACAGCAGCATGATCTATACACATGCAACAGGCATTGTAGCTCATGATCCACAAGTGAAACAGGCACACAAACAGCCAGCTGGCATACAGCAACATCATTCCCATCATGTGCTGAAAACCTCACCCCTGACCTTTCTCTCAATCTCCCCATTCTGCATGGCTGACAAATGTGTGTATACAATGTGTGTGTGTGTGTGTGTCCAATGCATGAAACCAGAAGATATGGGGTTAGGAGAAAGATCTCTTGTGTAGTGTGGGCTCAAAAAAAAAAAATAACCATTTCTGCCCTTGACACACAAACTTTAAAGAAAACAAATGGACTATTTCACTCCTGGAAACAAATACTAATCACTAATTCACTACTAAAAGCAAAACCCTACAATGACAAACTGGCAAGTACCACGCCCATCTGCCTATAGTAAAAACCAGCAGCTCATTACCGTGCCTTCTACATTTTCCTCCTATGCTCCTGAATTCCTGATGATATAAAAACTAAAGCCATACTGTGCAACGAAACAAGCAAAATAAAACACACTATTTGCTATCTTTCAGCAGACAATAATTTATTATACAGAATACACATCCTTTACCACCACAATCTACAAGCACCAAACAACTAGGAAAAGATAAAGATGGAAATATTCTGTGACCAAAATCATGATTCTCTTCACAGAACCTTCTATGTGATCAGGCTGGTATAAAAGCTGCCAAGAGAACATTTCTGGAGAAAAATGCAACTGTGAGGGCGACCATTTGCAGAGGCAGTCGGACAGTCCATGCCATTAATAAAATACTGTTCAACACGGGCATGTTAAATTTGTATATGTATTTTTGATTGCAGTACTTCTCAGTAACCCCAGCCAGTGATTTCTGAATAACTGACGACCTACTAGCATTAAAAGCCACAGATACACATCCGTGACCTCTCAATAACTGACGACCTACTAGCATTAAAAGCCACAGATACACATCCGTGACCTCTCAATAACTGACGACCTACTAGCATTAAAAGCCACAGATACACACCAATGACCTCTCAATAACTGAAGATACCAGTATTAAGAGCCAAAGGTACACACCAGTGATTTCTCAATAACTGAAGACATACCAGTATTAGGAGCCAAAGATACACATCAGTGACCTCTCAATAACTGAAGACATACCAGTCTTAGGAGCCACAGATACACACCAGTGACCTCTTAATAACTGAAGACATACCAGTATTAGGAGCCACAGATACACATCCGTGACCTCTCAATAACTGAAGACATACCAGTTTTAGGAGCCACAGATACACACCAGTGACCTCTCAATAACTGAAGACATACCAGTATTAAGAGCCAAAGATACACATCCGTGACCTCTCAATAACTGAAGACATACCAGTATTAGGAGCCAAAGATACACATCCGTGACCTCTCAATAACTGAAGACATACCAGTATTAGGAGCCAAAGATACACATCCGTGACCTCTCAATAACTGAAGACATACCAGTATTAAGAGCCACAGATACACACCAGTGACCTCTCAATAACTGAAGACATACCAGTATTAGGAGCCACAGAGACACACCAGTGACCTCTCAATAACTGAAGACATACCAGTATTAGGAGCCAAAGATACACACCAGTGACCTCTCAATAACTGAAGACATACCAGCATTAAGAGCCAAAGGTAAACAATAAATTAACATCTGCATCACACTGACCTACAGGACCACAAGAGAAGCTTTTTAACAACCATAAATGTACACTAACCTAAATCAATCAAGGAAACTACCATCAAATAGTCTTTAGGCTGACCACAAACTATTACGAATAAGCGCTGGTGTCCTCGCAAGGCTTCTAAACTTGCAACTTCTCTATCCATGTAAGTATTAATTAATCTCAACTATAAAGAATCAACTGGGGTGCCAATCAACTGGGGTGCCCAATGACCAAAAATGTACACCAATCTCAACCATCAAGGAAGAACATCTTCTCAAAGTGTCACATATGTTTAAAAATTGAAAGGTCTGCGTGTTTACATAATATTGTTTTAAAATCCACTAACTTAAAACTGGTTCAGCAACCCATAACATGACGTCTTTTATTTTTAAAAAAAAGAAAAAAACAATGAAGAAGAAAGTAACCTATTGCACACAAACCATCCAGTAATATTCTTGACAGTATGTAACAATACTATTAATACATTTGCAGGACAATCGTTAATCCAGCAACAGCAAAAGTCAACCCCTTGTTCCTGTCTGTTGTCAACTCTTTCAGTACCATTCAATCATGTTTTTTTAAACTTTTTTCGGTTAATGAGAAGTTCGACTTTAATCAGTATTTGAGACTGAACCTGCTAAAACTGCATCAAGCATCAGAGATATCTATGCTTACAATTTGTATTGAATGTCATAACTGCCTGTTGTATTTTTTTTTTCATTTTTTTTTAAGGGCAAAACGATAAACTTTACTTAGATAAATAAATGTATGGCTAGCTGCTTTAACAAAGAATCAATGAAACTAAACAACTAGTAGATTTAAGCAGTTCTTGTTTTTTTGTTTTTTTTAAATGGTTTGAAGAAGATGACGACGAAGATGATGACAAAGGAGGAGGATAAGAAGAAGATAAAGAAGACAACGACGACATAGACAATGAAGACGAAGCAGAAGAAAAAGAAGAGGAGGAAGAAAAAGAGGAAGAAGAAGGAAGACAGAAGAAGAAAAAGAGGAAGAGGAAGAAGAAGGAAGACGAAGACGACAAAGAAGGAGGAGGAGGAGAAAGAGAAGACGAAAGAATAAACACATCACAACTAATCAAAATTTTCAATATGTTTTATGATCACACAGCCAGTACAAGGACAAGATTAGAGATGCCACTTGCTCACTGTTAGATGATCATTATCAGATAGTGGTCAACACAAAACAACCACGTCACCCTAACTAGATCTGGCTGAAAATTTATGACAGATTTTTAAAAACAATAATAATGTAAGTGTTGAAAATCAGAAGTTGCAATTTTTTTGGTTTTGTGTGTGTGTGTGGTTATAATGTCACATGTAGATAAGAAACCTCTTAGACAGCCTCCAAAGTTAACTGTCAATGCTGAAACCATGGCACAGTTAGCCTCCTTTTTAGATGCTCTGCAGGTATCGACGTCGGTGAGAATGTCAGGGGCAGCTTTGCACATGCTGAGATCAAACTGGACGGGGAGTTTGAATGCCTGTACTGTAGCTGTCGTGTGGAGGGGGAAGGTAAAAACACTGTCTCGCTCGGCACCGGCTGGCTGGCTGGCAGACTGACTGCTCTTTCCTTCAACCAGTCTTCATATCACAAGCTCTGGCATGAGACGAAAGTGCGTACAGAGTTATGGCCTCAAGTTATTGGTACACTCAACTAGTTCAAGTCTCTATCTTCCAAATACCTATACTCAAATGTGAAACCCTCTTTCTTCTTCTGGCCCCACTTCTCATAGTCAAAGTAGATGTATGTGCCCTGAAAAGACAGTCAAACACAAGATAAGTGAGTTAGTGATCAAATCAAGATATCATGATGAGTTGCATTCACATTACCTGAACTCATATTGCACAGATTAATGGACACTAATACACAAAAACTCACTAAGGCATTTCTTCTTCTTCTACTTCTTGACATTCACCAGCTCCAAACTTCAGTGCAATATCCTAGTTTTGTGCAGATTTTTAATTCCTCACCTCTCAGGCAGGTTCACTCGGGCTTAGGATACCCCCTAATTAGTCAACTTTTAAAACATACTTGTCAATGGGCTGTGGGTATATTCTTTTTTTTTTCAGTTCCCCCCCCCCCTGTAAAATGAGGTTCTGGGGCACAGAATACAATAACATAATACTATCATCTGGCCCCTGTGTAGAAACTTCCCCCTATTTAAACACTCCAACAATCACATTATCTCCTACATTTAGCTGTGTATTTTACCTCTGTGGGTGTGGCATAAATGTGATGCTCCCCTCCCCTTTCCCTACCATTATAACTACCTCCTCAAGCCGGGCTTTTATCTCCTGGGACACAAAGTCAACAATCAGCTGACTTGTCAAAGAGTTGCAGATTTGACCAATAAAGATCTTTTTTTCATGGCTCATATCTTTTCATGGCTCATATCTTTTCATGGCTCATATCTTTTCATGGCTCAAGGGAACAAGTCAAATGACCAGTTCATCAAATACAAACATGACCAAGTACCTGCTCAAACTCTTCCGTAATTTGTTTTGGCTCTTCATGTCGCTGAAACCACATCATGTATTTTGTATGAAACCGCCACGACTGTTTCTTCAATGCTTTTGCTGCCAGGTATTGAGCTTTTGTTCCCTGTGCATACAAAAGAGCATTGCAATCATATGCTGGCAGGAAAAGTTTATGGCTAGCGAGCAAGAGGCAAACAATGATACAAGTGAGTGGACAACATCAAGAGATGGGTGAATAAAAATCTAATACAGCCAACCTTCTATGTGGTGATGCCACCTGATTGACTGAAATAATATTGTCACCCAGCAAGGACTCTTTAAGTATGGCAAACCTGTGACCATCTCAGTGATATCCCATGCTTGCTGTGAGAGATTCTGTAGCAAATGTTTGCAATGGTTCACAATAACCAATCTTTTATTTCCAGTTAATCAAGAGGTGAGGAGATGCCAGTAGCATTGTATAGGACACAAAAGTTGATAATAAAACTAGAATTCTGTCACTGAAACCCTGAGGGCAAAAGAAAGGAAGAAAGACTAACAAACATGGAGAAGACAATAAGAAACAGGTGAATTAGAGAAGATATGGAGATGGCAATGGGTGGGTCTTGGGATGAGATGGTTGAATGCTAATGTGTCTTTTCAACCTAAAGGGTAGAAAAGGGGAAATGGCAAAATGATGCAAAGAATAACATTCACTTCACTCACTTTCCAGGTTGTCGAGAGAATCTTTCATGCTACGTGTGCATCTTTTAACATCTGTCATCATTTTATCTTGAAATTTTTTTTTTTTCGAAAGCTAAAGGCGGCTTATTCTGCCTCTTCTTCTTCTTTGCATTCACTCTGATGGACAGTTATAGTTGTTCATTTTCCTATGGACTTAGTCTTTCTTCCAGAGATGGAGTGTTGCATGCACATCCATTTTACAGTTCTGGCATATTTGTATGCAGACTGTTGGTTCCTTGTCACCCAGGCAGATGCACTCCGACTTCGAAGAAAGCCCCCAATTAGGCTGACTCTTACAACACGCTTGTCGGGAAGGCAGGGAGTCTATTTTTGTTGTCCCTACAATGGGGCCGCGTTACACACAAGGGAAAGACAACCAATTCTAAAACTGGCTGTATGTGATTACCTTCTTTACTTTAAGTTATAAAAAGGTTTTCAATAATCTGAGTAGTCTGTGCTTATTGCCAGCACAAACGCTATAGGAGGTCAGGATATGACTATATATAGCTTTAGGAGGTCAGGATATGACTATATATAGCTATAGGAGGTCAGGATATGACTATATATAGCTATAGGAGGTCAGGATATGACTATATATAGCTATAGGAGGTCAGGATATGACTATATATAGCTATAGGAGGTCAGGATATGACTATATTAACCAACAACCACATTTACTCGTAACATTCAAAATGATAGAGGTCACAGCTACCATATACATGTGTTTTGAGGCCCTGGGGAATGTATTCCATTTAATGCTCACTCTTCTCATGCTCACTGATTATCCCCTCATATATCTTATATAAATACAGTTTTTTTTATTTGAAATAGAGATTTTGTATAAACAACTTTTTTTATCAACTAATTAGCGACTCACGTAGTAACTTTTGCAATTTTTATTCTAAAACTCTTGAGGTCACAGCTTTATTTTTTTTTGTTAAATGTTCCCAGGGTGAAAGGGTTAAAATGAAAATGTGTAATTGCAGCAATCAACGCTGCTGTGCATCTATTCAAGCCTAGGTCACAAACAGTAAGGTCTTCACCAGTGCTCCTTAGTTTTTACAGGGTTGCTCCTGTGTGCCAGATTTCTTCTCTCTGACTAACCAAGGTCTGGGTAATCTTGTAAAACATGCTCTAGAACACTGGTTCTCAACTTTCATAATGTCATAACTCTTTAATACAGTTAGTTCCTCATGTTGTAGTAACCTCCAACAATAAAATTATTTTCAATGCTACTTCACAACTTTAGTGAATATTTGTTTTTTGATGGTCATAGATGAGCCCTGTGAAAGAGCGTGCGCTCCCCAAAAGTACCCATAGGCTGAGAACAGCCACTCTGGAGTTTCCGCTGGGGCACCCACAAACACATATTCCTGAGTCATCAAGCCCTATTCAATGTAGATGTGCTTCGAGCTTGGTGTCCCACTCTGAGTCTCAGCAACTCTGGTCTGTACATTCCTACCAAGCTCATGTATGTAGAACTCTGCAACAAATACAGAATTAAAGGAGCTGCTCTCCTCAACTGCCTTGGTCTGTCAATTTATCCTACATAATCTTCATCAATTTCAACTTTTGCTGTTAAGTGTTACAGGGAGGAACAGATTGTGATGTACTGCTCAAGGGCTAGCAACATAGAAAGTCTTTAATGTCAACGATAGATCCTTGTCTAGGACGACCTCTTGCTTTCACATCAGAACTGTTCATGTTGAATGTCTATGCTGGTAGTTGTGGCTGCATTCTAACAAGATGATCAAACTTTATGATCTTCAGTTTCTCAACAGACTGGTGCCTGGTGTTGTTCCGATAGTCCATCTGATCGTACTATTTCTCACTTTGTTACAGATGGTTAAGTTGGCAGCTCTCCTCAGGCATCTCATTTCACACGTTTTAATAATTTAACTTACAATCACTTAAAAACACTCCACAAACAACTATTTTCCATGGGAACATTTTTTTTTAAAAACATTTCACCAGAAACTTACCTCCATATAATAAAATATGAAGAAAAGCGTTTCTGTACCACACCGCTGATAAAATTCAACAGTATCTGCATGAGGAAATGAGGCTGACGGGTAATACGATGGTGTGGGACATGGATTGCGAGGCAAGAAGTGTCTGAAATCATCAAAAGCAGGCAATATTTTATTTCTGAAGTAAGAGTTCACTGTGACATTAACGCACACAACCCTGAGTCTTAATCATGTAAATGAAAACTGTTCATGGTGGAGCTGCTGTCATCTCAATTTTTAAACACACAAAAGAAATCTGTGACAACTTCCTTTTCCACCCTTATTATGACGGCAAGCATAATGTGTTGCGGTTTACAGCTAGACTGCAAACCCAATGACTTTTCGCCCAACACATCCAACTTCAGTTACCCCTAAATTGTCACTTTTGGCTACACACTTGTTGCGGGCTACTCCCTCATTCCCTATTAAATTTGTGATTTGACATTACAAAGAAAATCAGTGAGTCTGCAACAGACAATGCTGTAATAATGCTGTAAAAACATTGTTTTATATTGAGTTGATAAGCCCACATGCAAATGTAGCTTAGCACACAAATACACTAGTACTTCCCTTTTGTACAAATCATATTCAAAATTTGCATGCAAAATCTAACAATTGCAAATCAATCCATCAATTAATTACTTTATGCAATGCTTTAAGACATTTACATTTAAACAATCTCTCCCTTTATTTGAGGGGGGGGGGGGGGGGGCAGAAACAGCAAACTTACCAGAAGGGAACTTCATATAGTACACAGAGAACTAATGAGAACAAAACAGCAGCAGAAATTCAGCACAAAATAAGACAGTGACAACACTGAACACAATGCACCAATAGTACACTGAACACAATGAACCAATAGTACACTGAACACAATGCACCAATAGTACACTGAACACAATGCACCAATAGTACACTGAACACAATGCACCAATAGTACACTGAACACAATGCACCAATAGTACACTGTACACAATGCACCAATGGTACACTGAGCACAATGCACCAATAGTACACTGAGCACAAAATAAGACAGTGCTGTCAGAGCATTAGCAGCACAATAAGCAGCACAGCAAGAGCAAAACTCAACCCATAACAGCACAGCACAGCACAGCAAGAGCAAAACTCAACCCATAACAGCACAGCACAGAAAGAGCAAAACTCAACCCATACAGCACAGCAAGAGCAAAACTCAACCCATAACAGCACAGCACAGCAAGAGCAAAACTCAACCCATAACAGCACAGCAAGAGCAAAACTCAACCCATAACAGCACAGCAAGAACAAAACTCAACCCATAACAGCACAGCAAGAGCAAAACTCAACCCATAACAGCACAGCAAGAGCAAAACTCAACCCATAACAGCACAGCAAGAGCAAAACTCAACCCATAACAGCACAGCAAGAGCAAAACTCAACCCATAACAGCACAGCAAGAGCAAAACTCAACCCATAACAGCACAGCAAGAGCAAAACTCAACCCATAACAGCACAGCAAGAACAAAACTCAACCCATAACAGCACAGCAAGAGCAAAAACTCAACCCATAACAGCACAGCACAGCACAGCAAGAGCAAAACTCAACCCATAACAGCACAGCACAGCAAGAGCAAAACTCAACCCATAACAGCACAGCAAGAGCAAAACTCAACCCATAACAGCACAGCACAGCAAGAGCAAAACTCAACCCATAACAGCACAGCAAGAACAAAACTCAACCCATAATAGCACAGCACAGCAAGAGCAAAACTCAACCCATAACAGCACAGCACAGCAAGAACAAAACTCAACCCATAACAGCACAGCACAGCAAGAACAAAACTCAACCCATAACAGCACAGCAAGAACAAAACTCAACCCATAACAGCACAGCACAGCAAGAGCAAAACTCAACCCATAACAGCACAGCACAGCAAGAACAAAACTCAACCCATAACAGCACAGCACAGCAAGAACAAAACTCAACCCATAACAGCACAGCAAGAACAAAACTCAACCCATAACAGCACAGCAAGAACAAAACTCAACCCATAACAGCACAGCAAGAACAACAGGAGGGAAACAGTGCAGAGACATACTGGGCACAAAACATCAACATTATTAGTTAGCACAAAATAAAATAGTGCAAAACATCAAAGAACAGCAAACACCAACAACAAAAACAAACAGCACAAAGCAAACCATCAACAAAGCAGTACAAGGCAACAAAACAGCATAAAGCATCAACGAAGATAAAATAAACAAAACATTAAGCACAAGGTATCAACACAATCAGCACAAAGCATCAACAAAATTAACACACTAAGCACAACACATTTCCATTTTTAAAAAAGCGCAGAGCATCAAAAACAGCAAAAATCATCAACAAACTGACACAAATCATTTACAAAACTGCATAAAACATCAACAAAACAGCATAAAGCATCCACAACACTTTTTTTTTTAAATATTAAGCACAAGGTTATCAACAACACATTTAGCACAAAGAGTCAATAAAACAAATAACATTTTAAGCACAAAGCAATAACATCAAAAACAACACACGTAACAATCAGGGGACAAATCAGATTTGAGAGCACTAAATTAAAATTGAACATTATCAAACAAGAGGTGAAATTCATACACATACTAAAAAAAAAACTACTTTCAAAAAACATAAAATAGCATTCAGGTTTTACCAAACCAGATTCGGTAGCATTTTTAATGTACTGTATTTACTAAATTAAACAACAGCTCATTACAGAAGTGAAAGAAGTGCCTTGCCACTGAATGTGACAAGTTAATGAGGGGAGTTAGGAAAGATGTCATATCCTCAGTGCATGGGTAGGATCAGACATTATGAATAAAACTTATGAATAAAACAGCACAAAGCATCAACAACACATTTAGCACAAGGCATCAAAACATCTAGCACAAAACAACGACACAGCATAAAGCATCAGCAAAACAGCGCAAAGTATCAACAAAAGATTTAGCACAAGGCATCAAAACATCTAGCACAAAACAACAATACAGCATAAAGCGTCAGCAAAACAGCGCAAAGTATCAACAAAAGATTTAGCGTAAGGCATCAAAACAACAACAGCAGCATAAAGCGTCAGCAAAACAGCACAAAGTATCAACAAAACTGAAAATCAACACGATATATTATATAACACATCAACGTTTAAAAAAAAACACAGCTTAAAGCATCCAAAAAAGAACACAAAGTGCCAGAGACAAAACAAAGCAACAGAGCTGCAAGCACTAAGCACATGAGAACAGCGGGTACAAACCTCATCCTTTCAGAGTCTGACGGGTGTGGAAGGTGGTGGTAGGCTGCATCTACCAAAGACAACTGATAGTGTTGCTCCTTTGACAACAGCGTGGGCCCTAATGGTACCATTCCTAGTAGAGGGTTTAAGTGGATTGTATTGGTCTGCGGAACCTGAGGCAATGGCTGTTGCTGCGGCAGCTGCGTGGACAGCTGCTGTTCTGATAAACTGACTGAACACTGCTCTGATGATGAAGGTGCGGTGGGTTGAGATGGTGTTTGTGAAGATGAATTATTGTACACACCTGAGGATTAAACACAAATATACACTGCAGTACTTTGCTTTATACAAATAACATTCAGAATTAGCAGGCAAAAACTGTCACTACACACTTGAGGATAATAATTGCTGGCTTGAAATGACTGGGTTTTTTATTATTTTTGTATTTACTCATGCAAAGAATAATAAATTATCACCCCTAAAAAGATGGTCAAGACAACCAACAGGATTTCTTTTCCGCATCTGTGCTTAAAAGAGGGTAGTCGATGTGAGGTGTTATAGTTTACAGCCAGGCTGTAAAAGACTTGCTATGTGATGACAGCAAAGTTCTATAAATGACTTGCTACTGATGATTGTGATGACAGCTAAGTTCTATAAAGGACTTGCTACTGATGATTGTGATGACAGCAAAGTTCTATAAATGACTTGCTACTGATGATTGTGATGACAGCAAAGTTCTATTAATGACTTGCTACTGATGATTATGATGACAGCAAAGTTCTATAAATGACTTGCTACTGATGATTATGATGACAGCAAAGTTCTATAAATGACTTGCTACTGATGATTGTGATGACAGCTAAGTTCTATAAAGGACTTGCTACTGATGATTGTGATGACAGCAAAGTTCTATAAAGGACTTGCTACTGATGATTGTGATGACAGCAAAGTTCTATAAAGGACTTGCTACTGATGATTGTGATGACAGCAAAGTTCTATAAAGGACTTGCTACTGATGATTGTGATGACAGCAAAGTTCTATAAATGACTTGCTACTGATGATTGTGATGACAGCAAAGTTCTATAAAGGACTTGCTACTGATGATTGTGATGACAGCAAAGTTCTATAAAGGACTTGCTACTGATGATTGTGATGACAGCAAAGTTCTATAAATGACTTGCTACTGATGATTGTGATGACAGCAAAGTTCTATAAATGACCTGCTACTGATTATTGTGATGACAGCAAAGTTCTATAAATGACTTGCTACTGATGATTGTGAAGACAGCAAAGTTCTATAAAGGACTTGCTACTGATGATTGTGATGACAGCAAAGTTCTATAAAGGACTTGCTATTGATGATTGTGATGACAGCAAAGTTCTATAAAGGACTTGCTACTGATGATTGTGATGACAGCAAAGTTCTATAAAGGACTTGCTACTGATGATTGTGATGACAGCAAAGTTCTATAAATGACTTGCTACTGATGATTGTGATGACAGCAAAGTTCTATAAATGACCTGCTACTGATGATTGTGATGACAGCAAATTTCTATAAATGACTTGCTACTGATGATTGTGATGACAGCAAAGTTCTATAAATGACTTGCTACTGATGATTGTGATGACAGCAAAGTTCTATAAATGACTTGCTACTGATGATTGTGATGACAGCAAAGTTCTATAAAGGACTTGCTACTGATTATTGTGATGACAGCAAAGCTCTATAAGAGACTTGCTTTGTGATGACAGCAAAGTTCTATAAATGACTTGCTACTGATGATTGTGATGACAGCAAAGTTCTATAAAGGACTTGCTATTGATGATTGTGATGATATCAAAGTTCTATAAAGGGCTTGCTACTGATGATTGTGATGACAGTGAAGTTCCATAAGACTTGCTAGGTGTTTACTGTGATAAAAGTGAATTTCCAAAAAAGACTTGCTAGGTGATGACTGTGATGAAAGTGAAGTTCTATAAAAGACTTGCTAGGTGATGACTGTGATGAAAGTGAAGTTCTATAAAAGACATGCTAGGTGATGACTGTGATGAAAGTGAAGTTCAATAAAAGACTTGCTAGGTGATGACTGTGATGAAAGTAAAGTTCCATAAAAGACTTGCTAGGTGATGACTGTGATGAAAGTGAAGTTCTATAAAAGACATGCTAGGTGATGACTGTGATGAAAGTAAAGTTCTATAAAAGACTTGCTAGGTGATGACTGTGATGAAAGTGAAGTTCTATAAAAGACATGCTAGGTGATGACTGTGATGAAAGTGAAGTTCTATAAAAGACATGCTAGGTGATGACTGTGATGAAAGTGAAGTTCTATAAAAGACTTGCTAGGTGATGACTGTGATGAAAGTGAAGTTCTATAAAAGACTTGCTAGGTGATGACTGTGATGAAAGTGAAGTTCTATTAAAGATATGTTAGGTGATGACTGTGATGAAAGCAAAGTTCTATAAAAGCCTTGCTAGGTGATGACTGTGATGAAAGTGAAGCTCCATAAAAGACTTGCTTATTGATGAATATGATGAGAAGTGGATGAACAACCAGGACTTTCCAATGAGGTAACAGTTGGTGAGCACAAAGAAGAACAAATTAAATCTTTTTCAATCATCTTAATTAGATATCAATACCTGTACAAAGTAGGACTTTGAGGGGTGGGGGAGGCAGAGCGCAATCAAAATCCCAAGAAAGTTCTAGGCACTACACTTTATTTGGAAAGCACATTTAAGATCCCAAGAAAACTAGGCTACACTTTTTTTGGGGGGAAAGCACATTCAAGAAGATCCTAAGAAAACTCCAATACTAAATTTCATGTTCTCAGCACTGGGGTTAATTCACTGCAATAACTTTCCTGCAAGTTTCTGAAGTAGACTTCACCCAAGTTTGTAAAACATAAAAGTGATACTTACATATGTAATTAAATGTTCAATGTGAAGTATTTCTTGTATTTCTTTTCATAAACAATGTTCTTATAATCCAGTAATGTAATCTCAGTGATTGCAGATATTTTCCTCCAAAAACAACAAAGCTCTAACAGAAAACAAAACTGATTACAATAAGCCCAACTATGTAGCTGGGCCAAGCACAATTGTAAGTTCCCAAATGTGTAGCTGGACCAAGAACTACTGGAAGTTCCCAAATGTGTAGCTGGACCAAGAACTACTGGAAGTTCCCAAATGTGTAGCTGGACCAAGAACTACTGGAAGTTCCCAACTGTGTAGCTGGACCAAGAACTACTGGAAGTTCCCAAATGTGTAGCTGGACCAAGAACTACTGGAAGTTCCCAACTGTGTTTCTGGGTCAAGCACAATCAGCCATATATCAGAAAAATCTAAACAATCCTGACCAACAGAAGCAGGTAAGCTGTGACCATACACAAAGCCACACACTTCAGTATTATAAAGTATACCATTGAGGGGCATTCAGTCTTGACACAGTCAGGGGTAACCCCTGTTCACTATGTGCTTATGTCAGTTGACAAGTGACCTATGTTCATTCACTGTATAATTCTCAAACACTGGAAGTAAACAGAAACTCCGACCTTGTGAGTGATGGGCCTACTGGCTATAGTAAAAAGTGAAGATGTGAACACTTTTCAAACATGCCTGTCTCATCAATTACTGTTTTTGTACAGTAGTGGACAAGCCAACAGCAACTGTACCCCTCAACCCCCTCTTATCTTTGAAGGTCTCCCAGGGGCCTCACTTTATACCAGTCATACTGAAGAACTTATAAATATAAGAATCACAAAACACAAAAAAAAAAAACAGTTTGCACTCTGAAGTTGGGTGGGGGGGGGGGGGGGGGGGGGGGGATTATTTTGGTAAAGAGTATGTACTCCTTAAAATTTGTTGCATGGGCAAGTTGTCATAAAAAGCAACTAATTTAGGATTTCCTGAAATCAGGTATAATGGACTGAAAGGACAGATATCGCAGCTTAGCTGTAAACCACAACACAAAATGTCAACCGTCCTTTTTGGGGCAGACGCCGGAAAAGACTAGCTTTCTTTTACAAAAACGAAATATAGTAGGGGGAAGGGGGGAGTAGTAAGAGGGGGGGGGGCGCAAACAAATGCTTCAAGGGATGTAAAAAAAATATATTGGTTCTAAAGGAAATAACTCCGGTGAAAGTTAACTTCTAGCGGCTGTGGCGTTAACTAAATAAAGCCAATCATCATCTGAGGCGCGCAGAACTTATGAGGATGAAATTAGCAGTGAACGCATAAAAACAACCGTACAGTCACCAATCACAAAGAATCAGTCAGGCAAATGTAAACCTGTTTCCCTATAAATGCCTCATGAACCTGAAGAGGGGAGATCTCTCTCTTTTTCTCTCTCTTTTTTTTTAAACATATCACACAGGAACATGAATTAATGTTTTCTTTTTATTGTCTACACTGGAGGAAAAGAATTATTATTCTACGCCTTAGAACAGGACACAATCGACTTTGCAGCCACATGTACACACAATTTACAATTGGCAAATCAGCCATGTGCACATGTGGCTTGGCACCTGAGACAACAAATCACGTCCTCCAAGACTGTCCCAAATACAACATCTCAAGGCAAAACTTTTGGTCAAGAGAAACACCGGTGCAAGTCAAGCTTTACAGGTCGCTGAGTGAACTACAAAAGACAGTGAGGTTCATACTAGAGACAACACAGCAGATATAGATAATATATTTCAAGCTAACAAGAGAAGAACTGAAGAAAGCCTGGTCCAGCAGGATAACATGAACACAGTGAAGTATTAAATGGAATACCTTCCCCAGGGCACCCCAAAAAAATAAATGTATCGGGTGACACATGCTATGATCCTGTGACCTCTATAAATCAGGCTCACTCAAAAATCTGAGATCAACTTGGTTTTCAAAAGACCAATGAATTCAAAGAAACCCCCCTACATGTTATTTTTAGCTAATTAATTTATTCCTATAATGGCCTTTTTAAACACAGCATAGGAAACACATACGACCAAAATAATTTAATTATGCTTTTACAGTAAAGGCCACTACCAAAATGGCCATATATCGACATTTATGAGACTGTGTCACTGCCAGAAGTGAATAGATTTAGCAGCTTCAGGGCAACCGGCTTAAGTCTAACCTGAAGAAACCAAGTGATAATAACTGATATCAGCAATTGCACTCACCATCATACACAAATACAAGCACCAAGAACACACACATGACTTACTAGAAGATTCAACAGTTGTATGGGATGAAGGCAATGTTTTTTCCAACTCAGCGTTTGCAATTACTTGCTGTGCCATTGTTCGCAAGGACAAATCATCACTCTGGAAAGAAAATAAGGCATAATGTATTTTGATGGTCTATACTACTAACACAAAGAAATCTCTTTGTGGACACTTCTGGCACAAGGTCTCTTTGTGGACACTTCTGGCACAAGGAAATCTCTTTGTGGACACTTCTGGCACAAGGAAATCTCTTTGTGGACACTTCTGTGACACAAGGAAATCTCTTTGTGGACACTTTTGGCACAAGGAAATATCTTTGTGGACACTTTTGGCACAAGGAAATCTCTTTGTGGACACTTTTGGCACAAGGAAATCTCTTTGTGGACACTTTTGGCACAAGGAAATCTCTTTGTGGACACTTCTGGCACAAGGAAATCTCTTTGTGGACACTTCTGACACAAGGAAATCTCTTTGTGGACACTTCTGACACAAGGAAATCTCTTTGTGGACACTTCTGGCACAAGGTCTCTTTGTGGACACTTTTGGCACAAGGAAATCTGTGGACACTTTTGGCACAAGGAAATCTCTTTGTGGACACTTCTGGCACAAGGTCTCTTTGTGGACACTTCTGGTACAAGGTCTCTTTGTGGACACTTCTGGTACAAGGTCTCTTTGTGGACACTTCTGGTACAAGGAAATCTTTGTGGACACTTCTGGTACAAGGTCTCTTTGTGGACACTTCTGGTACAAGGTCTCTTTGTGGACACTTCTGGCACAAGGTCTCTTTGTGGACACTTCTGGTACAAGGAAATCTCTTTGTGGACACTTCTGGCACAAGGTCTCTTTGTGGACACTTCTGGCACAAGGAAATCTCTTTGTGGACACTTCTGACACAAGGAAATCTCTTTGTGGACACTTCTGGCACAAGGTCTCTTTGTGGACACTTCTGACACAAGGAAATCTCTTTGTGGACACTTCTGACACAAGGAAATCTCTTTGTGGACACTTCTGGCATAAGGAAATCTCTTTGTGGACACTTCTGGCACAAGGAAATCTTTGTGGACACTTCTGGCACAAGGAAATCTCTTTGTGGACACTTCTGGCTCAAGGAAATCTCTTTGTGGACACTTCTGGCTCAAGGAAATCTCTTTGCGGACACTTCTGGCACAAGGAAATCTCTTTGCGGACACTTCTGACACAAGGAAATCTCTTTGTGTACTGGTTCCTTTATGGGTAGTTGCATCGTGATTTTCTTTTAATCTATCAGTTGACAGATAGAGAAATGCTCAGGAGACCACTGTTTTCAACTCAAAGCTGGTTCGGTAGCCGTTGTGATGGGTTCACCTAGTGGCCAACTTAAGTGCTATCTCGGAGCAAGTGCTTATTTATTCTTCTTCTTAGCATTTATCAGCTGTAAACTCTGGCAGAAAGTTCTGGTTGTTTTTCCCACTACAGCTTTGAAAGATACACCCTGAGTTATGTCATGCTTGCTAGGGAGGCAGTGGGTCTATTCTTTCTACCCCTCACAAAGTGCTTATTTCAGTGACACAGGTAAGATAGCTGTTTGCTCAAGATTGTAAGTTGTAGATATTACTTAAAGACAATTTTTTTATTATTATTATTATTTAAGGTCCTCGAGTTGAAAAAAAAACAATACTAAAAAGGACATTTTATGATTTTTATCTTGAAGCATCATTGAATACTAAATACTACATTTTTTTCATTTGATGTCTTGCAGCATCAAAAACTATACTAAAAACTACATTTTATAACTTTATGACTGAAGCATCAAAGAAAACTATATTAATGATTGCAAACTTTATAACTTCACGTCTTGAAGCTTCAAAGAAAACTATACTAAAGTCTGAAAATTTAATAACTTTTGTCTTGAATTAATGACTGCAAACTAACTTCATGTCTTGAAGCTTCAAAGAAAATTAATGACTGGCAACTTTATAACTTCACGTCACAAGTTTCAGGATTTAAGGCTACATGGCCAATGCAGTCGCCACAAACTGTGCAGCTTTTTATTTTGGAAACCCAACAGAAAAATATCCATCCCTTACCAAGGAGTAAATCTGGGTCCCCCGCATGAGGGCCCAGAGTTCTAACTATTCAGCCAGCTGCTTGCCTATGAAGAAAAAAAACATAATGCTCTATCCTGTGCAATCCTTTTGAAATTGTGGATGAAATCCAGTCTGGCACCTCTGACCTCTCTAAGCATTCCTTTTAGGGGTTGTTATTTTTGTTGTTGCTGTCATCATTTCCTCAACCTACTTGTTGGTTTTCCAATCAAAGGAAACTATACTAAAGCCTGACATTTTATATCTTCTGTGTTTGTCCCTGAAATAAAAAGCGGCACATTATACTGTGGCTCCCAGTTAGGTTGTGATACCTGTGATTGTCTGGCTAACACATCAGAAAAATTCCTAAGTAGTCATCTTTTAATGACATGCTTGTTGAAGATAAGTAGTCCCCCCCCCCCCCCCCCCACCCCCCCCCCCCCCCCCCCCCCCCAGTGTCCTGTACCCCTACTGGGAAATATTTCATGTTTAAAATGCAGAGCTACTAATATTACTTAGTAACAACTGAACTGTATATTGAGAAAACAAACCACATCTTTACAGCTACACAGGACAACCACAGTATTTCCAATACAAGCTGATATCATGTCTCAAATCTAAAACACACAGTCCCAATAAGGTTCAACAGTCTGCATAAACCTAGCAAAATAAAAATAAAAAACTTGGAGGAGCAGGAAGTACCCAAAAGAGGAAGCATGTCAGGGTACAAAGAAAACAAACAACCCCCTTTCTTTTCTTTTTTGCCCAGTATCATGAGGTAATCACAGAATGTCGTTACCATAAGGAAGTCAAGGAACAAAATAGCAATTTAAAGAGCCATTAATTATGTTACAGGGCAATGTTTAAAATAAAAAAAAATAAAAACAGATCAGACAGATAAGACAAAGGATATAATAGGTCCAGTTTGCATTTAGGGGAAAACACAGGGTGCAATGATACTTTCTCCATTACAAAACAAGTGAAAATTGCATTCTGCATGGTGAACAGCACAACACTGCATTCATAAACTAGGAAAAAGTTTTTAACAGAGATCACAGAAATTAGATGTGGGCTCCAGAACCCCATTTTGAAGGGGGTGGGGGGGGGGGGGCAGACACCAGCCACTTAACAATATGTCGAAAAAGGCAAAAACAACAGAGTTTGCTAAAATCAGACATCTTGGACTATTGCAGGCTAGCTGTAAATAAACCATAATACAACATGCCAACTGTCCAATTTAGATCAAGAATAGTCAAAATATTTTAGTGGCTGTGGGAGAGTGGATAAGAAATGCATCTGCTGGACATCAGAGCTGGACACAGAAGATACCAAAAGTATAGTTAAAAAGCCCTAACACTTCACATTTATCTGGAAACTGATTACCTTGACCGGAGGTCACAACATACATTGCTTAGTTACAGAATACTAAATAGCATTAACAGTCTTTGGCTGAACCAGCAGCAAGACAACATTTCAAAGGGACGCATCTTTCCTGTAGCAACTTATGGATGTGAATCATGCTATCTTGCCATCCTTAAGGTCAGGTAACAGTGGCTTAAATGCTACATAAAAATTCTCAGAAACCACATAACGAAAAAAAGAAATACTGACATTCTAACAAATCTGAAAATCAAGGAAGAAAACAGCATCTTGTCTCAGAAACTGAAATCAGTTGACCATTTCAAACACCATTGCAGATTGGAAATAATACTAGCAGAGGGCATGATGCCAGAATGAGGAGCAGGGATCAACCAGCACGAACACCAGCACAGGTTATGGGTGACATCTTAGTTAGGAAAACGCACAAGGCGGGACAACTGGTGAGAGGCCGAGTTTCATTCAGGCAGACCATGATGAGAGCAATGTCTTGCAAATGACCTTGTTACATGATAATGAGTTTGAGAATGAAAAGGAATGAGTAAATGAAGTAGCCAATTTACATTTCAGTCCAAATATTCTTGCCAGATACATGTATCACCCAAACATTTTCAGCAACATTATAAACAATCACACAAACTTGTTTAAGAAAAAAAAAACTTTAAACTGATATTTAACAACCTCCACCCCAGTTTGTTTAGTTTAGGCTCAGAAGCCCACGTAGGAGATAGGATTCTATGGGCTTGGCAACAATGGTTTGGATGGAGGAGAAGAAGACCAACAACACCACAAAAGACATTTTACTCACCTTGACCTTTTGTGATGCTGGACCACCTGCACTCAGTGGTCCATTCATAACCGGTGGACCGTCGGTCCGGTTATTGTGGACCTGAGAGGAATTGCTGACTCCTGACGTTGCTGAAGAGTTCACGGTACTGAGTGTGGAGGCAGCAGTTCCTGTAACCGTCTGCGGTGAGGGAGCCGAGGAAACACAGGGATTTCCAGAGGAAGTCAAGGAGACAGAGTTTGTATTTGTTGTACCCGGCAACGTACCATTGCTTGATAAGCTCCCCGATGCAGACTGGTCAACAGAATTCACATGAGGTTTTGATGAATCTGCAAGTCATAAAATGTGCCCACAATAAATAGATACGGTAAGTGTAATGATGCTATAAATAGAGACAATGTCAGGGTATGACTGACAGAAATAGACAAGTCCCTGATAGCATGGGTTTCACGGCGATATAGTGAAAATACAGAATTGAGTGAGTTACGTGTGAATGCGAGATCTGGGGGATTGAGAATGAGGTAGTCCTTCGGTGACTGGGCCCCAGATTGAAAGGACAAGAAGTTGAATCCAGAGTGATAAGTGTACACGTGGATCTGGATGAGAATCGAGTGAATGTTAGTCCTGAAAGACAAAAAATGGAGCGGTGTTGAATTATTGTTTAGGCCAGCAGTTGTGCTCCATGGCCTGGTCGTTATGCCAGTTGCGTACATGCCAGTGTCCATTGTCTGAAGCGTGGCTGGAGAGTTAAAGTAAAGTTGTGTGGCAGTTGGAGACAGGTGCAGTCTGGTTGGAATGAACTGTGACATAACACCTATACAAAAGAGCTAGCGTTAACTTTGCACAAGAGAGATTAAGTGCGGAGGAGACATTACAGCAAGTTAGAAGTGAAAGATCATTGACTGCATAAATATAAACTGTTTTAACCAACAGCTTTCAATACCTTTTCTTCTTTAACTTTTTCTCTTCTGGGTAGTTATTTACAGCAGAACAGTGATATTTGCACCTTTTGGTCAACACACCATTTTTCTGCCAGGCATTTCTTGATTGGGTCTTTCCAAAAGCTTTAAATGCTTCTAAAAATGTTTTGTCTTCTCACAATCCCCCACCAAGTAGTCTTGGTTGACCTTTGTGTCCTCAACCCACGTCTCGTGACCTAATAATAAATTATGTTATTCAGCATCTTCTCATTAAATTGGACACTCGCTATCTCCATGTCCAACAGGTTTTTAACACTTTGCTGACCAGCAATCCGGGGCATTACCGTCTCTTGCTACCAAGGCTTTTTGGATTTGTTTTGTTTTTTAAATGACTGGTTTTATTTTTAAAATTCATTGAAAATTAAAAAAGAGCGCGGAGTTTTAAAACCTTCACAGCATCATTGCAAATTGTTGCTACGCATTGGGGTGGGGGGGGGGGGGAGAGAGAGAGAGAGAGAGAGAGATATTTAAACATGTCACACGATCATAGTAGCCCTAGTGAATTTGTTAGGCTAGAAATTTTAGAAGATATTAATCCATCATCTTTTTCCACTTCTTATTGAATTAATTTGGTAAAATTAAGTGCAATAAAATGTTGGGGGCATGGCTGGCGATGAATAAAATTAGCTAAATAGGAGCAATTACTTAACGACCGACCAAATATTTCTACATTAAAAGCAAATAAAAATGTGAATACAGTGAATAAAATCTGTTCCGTTTATTGTGTATATTTGTCATGTTACAATGGGTGTTTATAACCCTACCAGACCGCTGGCCTGGTTTTCCTGGAATTTCATAACTGTTCTTTATAACCGCTGGTACTAATTTTCGGCTATTTGCATAGTGCGTGAGAACGATGCGTCACTGACTAAAAATAACCAACCAATCGTCATCAGTCCACTTTGTTAGACATTGCAAATGGCTTTCCCCTGTGTGTGTATCAATTTTGTGTGTTTTAACGTGAAAAAAATTCAGAAAATTCAGAGTGAAGCGAGCGGCTGATGAATCAAGTTCTAGGCTTTTCACAGTCCAACAGGTGATCGATACTTTGGTTTATTCAGACTTTGTGATTTATATATACATTTATATATATATATATATACATTTATATATATATATATACACATTTATATATATATATATATATATATATATATATATATATATATATATATATATATATATATATATATATATATATATATATATATAGATATATATATATATATATATTCATTATCTGTGATAATTTCATAAAGAATACGTTCTTGAAGTGACACTGTCAGTGAGAGCGCGAATGATGAGGAAAATCTTTGAAATTATCAATCTCGAAATAGATCGACAGTAGGAGGAGGAGGGGGTGTGTCCATCAAACGGCAACATCTGGTGTTCACTTTGTGAAACAAAGTTGATCCTGATGAGTGAATTCGCACACAAAGGTGGAATATTGGCGCTAGATAAAAGGTAAGCATATTTTCTACAATGTCTCCAAGTTTCATCATATTCTAGCCACTCGTCTGCATGTAACTAATATTTTTGTATATCATGTTGGTTTTTTCGCGGTAATGCCCAGGAGCTCAGGTAATAGGGACAGTTAGGTTCAGGGCCTTAGGTCTGGTAGGGTTAATTATAAAAGCACTTCTAGTTGAAGTCTGAGCTACTTTCTTCATTAAATGGAGTTGAAGCTGTGGCAGTAGCCCTCTGTCTTTGTCAGGAATGTTGATAATCCTCAACTGTGTGGTACAGCTTGAAACAGGCTGGCAAGCATAGAGGTGTATAGCAATCTGGTCAGTACATTCGTCTAGCTTCTTTCACCTGCAGCCTTACACACTTTGCAGTCTGGTTTGTACCGTGGCTTTCATATAATAGCGCTAAGTTAGTCGGGATGTTGTGACATGTGGTCTTGAAGTTGTTACATTCTACCTAAAGACAGCAGGTCCGATAAGAGCAGGACTGACATCCTGCTTGAACCTCTTTGCTGTGATCTTATACATAGAGTTGTAGCTTACATCAATAATGTAATGGAAAGTACCATTTTTAGGATCTAGGTTGGTAGGGGTAGTGTGTAACCAGCTGGCCGAAGTAATCAACACCCCCCCCCCCCCCAAATACTACTGTTGTATTTTTCTGCAAGAACTGGCTGATTTATTATACTGCTTATTCTGCCCTTGAAAATTCCACTTTTCCTGTCTTGTCTATAACATCATTGGAGTTAACAGTTGATTTGATATTAGGTGAACTCTTTTAGTGTCATGCCAGGTAATAGCCAGCATGCCATTATCTTTTGTCACATAAAACAGGATGATCTGCCTTTTTTAGTTGCAACTGCTTTTCCTTTAAAAAAAAATCAATCGACGCACACCCAGTTGTGTTTGACGTGGCTTCTTTCTCCATTACAAACAGCATTTTCGACTACAGAAATGTTCTGGTCCCTTGTGCCACGCACACATCCGTCCTTGTAGTGGCTATTTTCAGTTGCGATATGACAATAACATTCCAGGAATGATGGTTTGAAGCGCTACATTTGCTGGCAGATTCCAATAACATTCCAGGAATGATGGTTTGAAGCGCTACATTTGCTGGCAGATTCCAATAACATTCCAGGAATGATGGTTTGAAGCGCTACATTTGCTGGCAGATTCCAATAACATTCCAGGAATGATGGTTTGAAGCGCTACATTTGCTGGCAGATTCCAATAACATTCCAGGAATGATGGTTTGAAGCGCTACATTTGCTGGCAGATTCCAATAACATTCCAGGAATGATGGTTTGAAGCGCTACATTTGCTGGCAGATTCCAATAACATTCCAGGAATGATGGTTTGAAGCGCTACATTTGCTGGCAGATTCCAATAACATTCCAGGAAATGATGGTTTGAAGCGCTACATTTGCTGGCAGATTCCAATAACATTCCAGGAATGATGGTTTGAAGCGCTACATTTGCTGGCAGATTCCAATAACATTCCAGGAATGATGGTTTGAAGCGCTACATTTGCTGGCAGATTCCAATAACATTCCAGGAATGATGGTTTGAAGCGCTACATTTGCTGGCAGATTCCAATAACATTCCAGGAATGATGGTTTGAAGCGCTACATTTGCTGGCAGAATCCAATAACATTCCAGGAATGATGGTTTGAAGCGCTACATTTGCTGGCAGATTCCAATAACATTCCAGGAATGATGGTTTGAAGCGCTACATTTGCTGGCAGATTCCAAATTATCAACAGTCAGAGTCTTGGTTTTCGCCACCAGACATGACAACAAGGCTAAATATGCGTTGAATGAAAATTATCAAAATTTCACTGAAAACAACTCTTGTATCGGCTTAAAGAGATATTGATCATAGTCGCAGCCATCTTAGAGTAATACAAATACCCGGATAACGCTCAATTAAAAAAACTATCAGTAAGGCTGTATGTTTGCATTCTGCATGTCATGAATTCGTCGATCATCAAAGTTGGTCAGCAAAGTGTTAAGGATTCCAGTATCTTCTTATCATAAGGTTCCTAAAGAATGTGCATTATTATTCTTTCTTTCAAAGTCATGAGTAAATCTGCCTGTGAGACAAGAAACCAACAGTCTGCATATAAATAAGCCAGGTCTGTAAACCAGAAGGGCATTTAATACTGAAGTTCTGAAACAGAAGTCCAGAAGTGAAAGAACAGCCAGAACTCTCTGCGGGAAGCTATAGTCAGTGAACGAGAAGAAGAAGAAGAGACAGCAACAACATAGGGCAATTACAGCAGAGAAAGGCAACTAGGCATACAAGGTAATCAAAAATATGTGGCTTACCACTATGAAAGCTTGTTTGGACAGGTAAAGTACGTTGCCACACAGAAGGTGTGGGGTGCGATAACCGAGAACCTATAATAGACAAACAAATACCTCATGAAATAATAGCGAGGCCTAAAACAGACAAAAAAATATACATTACGAAACAACAAGTATCTAAAACAAATTTTAAATATACATTTTAGAATGGACGTCTGACATAGATATTTAAGAAACTTAAAAATTAATTTACAATTACAGAATACAATAGATTAGGAAATATATGTGACTGTAGCCATTTACAGGCATAGGTAAAACTTAAACCCATTCACTGTTAGCTGTTTACACCTTGGGCTCTACAAATGCTAAACAAAACTGGTCATGAACCCATACAAAGTACTGATGAACATTCTTTTAAAAAACATTACATAGGTCACTCATAACTTTTTTTAAATGTATTTATCTACAATCTGAGGCTATCCACTGAATAACGGGCACAAAAGATGGCAGTTAAAAACAGGGCCTCAGTCACATGTCCATTGCACACTTCCGGCGACTTAATTTGCGGTTTTCCGGCGACTACTGCCACCGCCAAAGAGTATCCCCCACGCTGCGTTAGCAGCGTGAATTGGGGCTAAACTAGATGGCTAGGACTCACGAGCAAAGCTGCAGGAGATGCTGATTTTATTCTTTTAAATATATAGATAAATAATTTGTAATCAATAAACATGAACAGAGTGAATCATTAAATGGAACACATTTCCCAAAGTCTTGAAAAAAAAACTATATCTGTCATATCGTGAGCTCTATCACTAAGACTTACCGGAACTGTGACAGTGTTTTTTCTGTGTGTTTTTTTTTCTCCCCCAAGAACCTTGAGTTGTAACCCCTTTGGCTGGGCACTAGGATAACCCTTCAGCCTTGATTCCAAGATAAGGTTAGTTGCGTATCCTTTACAGGACGTTGCAGAACCAACCCTAATAGCCCCTGGCTGTTGTATGGTTTTTCTAGGCAAATTTACGTCCAGTAGCTTGCCATTGCTTTCCGGACGGTCGGCTTTCTTGATACCACTGTCGAAACCAACGCAAGGCGCATGATTCCATGAAACGGTAAATCTGGGAAATTTGTGGCTTTTCTGCCTACCTCCGAGCATGAACTCAGACCACAAGGAGTTTGTCACCCGGTTGCCATGCAGCTGGTTTAAGCAACTTAGCTAGCATGCCGGTCACTTTAAAAGAGCCATCATATGGCAACCTCTGTAAATGCTATTTTTAACTGCTTGATTCACACCATGGCCTATTAAACACTGCTGAGGCACCAGACGATGTCGCTGCAGCACAACTAGCTAGTAATATTTATGCGAGTGTATCATAACCAGGACTGACTAGATCTTTTTCAGTCTTCTCGGGTCCAATTTGTATTCACATGAAGCACACAACTATACAGAAATAATTCATACCAATGCTCTCAATTACTGAACTAAAGTCTAATCTTTTTTCCAGGTAAAACAAACTGTGACCTTAAGTTTGGCAGCCCAGTACTGAATAATGCCAAACAAATTACCTGTTCAAATACATAACAGGTTAAAACTTTCTAAACCCATAATGAAATGACCTACTTACATATTTTTTTCTATTACGTTATTTTCTCATCTTTCTCTTATGGGCAGTTGTTTCATCTACCTGTTTTAAAATCTGGATTCCATAAAAACAAACAGGTGCACGGGAAGGCAGCAACTGGGTAGGTAATTTGTTTCCTTCTTTTAGAGAAGTGAAGAGAAGTGAGCAGAAAATCACCAAGCAGGCACTAACATGGCAAACAAATGGACTGAGGAAAGGAAGGCATCCAAAAGAAACCCTAAAACAAACGCTTTGAGAGAGGTCAAAGATGCTGGACTGCATTCCATATATGAAAAAGACAGAAATGTAAAAGACTAAATGGAATGGAGAAATCGACCAAGATAAATAATCGCCTATCAGGATGGTGATTCTTATAAAAGTTTTCTCATCACACAGTGTTGTCTTTTAGTGTTCAAGCTTAGCCTAGGTAATATGTTACAAATGAAGTGCATAAACTGTGTCTCACAAATGATGCTTAGTAACCGTCACAGAAGAAGCATTATCAAATGCAAGTAATAATAATAGTGATACGTTTATTTTTTTCACATACACACCAGCAACTCACATGAGGCAGTATAATAAATATCGTTTGTTTCACCAATTTTAGTGACTGCATTTTAAAGCGATTAACCATATTATACAATGTATGACATTCTGCTTCTTCTTTCCTCTACTCCTGGAAAATATTAAGGGGGAAAAAAGATGGGATACTAAAAGCAGAAAAGCATCAGACTGGTGGCGATGGAGATAACTAATGAATGCGTTTTGATCAGCAAAAATGAAAAGGACACAGACAGACTATATATACATTAGGTGGGGTGAGCCACTTGTATAACCGAGTCCATTAGGGTAATGCTGTGGCCCTGTTTCAAATTATTAACCGCAGCCTTAATTGTCTTACCCAAAGAGATTGTTACTGAATTATGCAAATAAAAGGTTAAAAACAACAAACACAGAATTAAAATGGACAGGAAAAAAAGACAAAGATGAAAAGAGAAGAAAATAAAGAAATGACTAATCATCAGTAAAGGAGGAACTGAACAGCACTGAAACTACAACTATTTTGGTACACCTAAAACTAAGTTGTCTACATCTGCAATTGTGTGCCTCGTAATAAATGTCACTGCTTATTTTAGATTGTTAGGTAGCAGTCTACAGATAGATTCCTTTCTGCTGCTGTTGGTTTTGTGGCTAAAGATATGGTTTATTGTATCACATTCAAGTCACAGTCCTGAACTATGTGTTCTGCTGCAACATTTAACACTCAGCTTGGTAATTGTAAACTATTCTGAGACACAGAATAATGACCTGGTATGATCTGTCCCAACAAGGGAACTAGCAAAGAAAGGAAGAAAGATCATGGAAGTAGGTCCGTACCCGATGAGCTGTTCTGCTGCCCACCTGCAGCGGCAGCATAAGCTGTCAAAGGCGATGGTGTTATCGATGGATGATGGTTGCTATTCACAGAATTGCTGTCTGAGTTTTGTGCACTTGTACTGCTGAAAATGGCAAGGACGAGACAACTGTTTTAGTAGGCATGACTAAAGCACTACCAACATTCAGAATTCATTCAATACATTTCCACTGCAAAAATGCCAAAGGTAGTCCCCAAGTACAAAATTAGTCAGTTAGATGACAGATCATCCTCACTGCATATCAAAACATTCAGTCTATAAGTGCTCAGATCCACTTCTCATTCAATCCTGCAGCCCCACTTCTCATTAAATCCTGCAGCCCCACTTCTCATTAAATCCTGCAGCCCCACTTCTCATTCAATCCTGCAGCCCCACTTCTCATTAAATCCTGCAGCCCCACTTCTCATTAAATCCTGCAGCCCCACTTCTCATTAAATCCTGCAGCCCCACTTCTCATTAAATCCTGCAGCCCCACTTCTCATTAAATCCTGCAGCGGCTGATGACACCAGTCCTGTGTTGGTTTCCTATTCTTCTTTGACTTCCTGCATAGTGCTCTTGTCTAGCCACACCACTTTGAACATGCTGTTCTTGCAGTCTGGTCATGATTGCAGATTCAGTCATCACCTGCTTTTTGCAAGCATCTAACTTCTCGTAGAGCATTCAGTATATCAGCAGGGTCCAAGGCATGTCTGCCCGCCACGGTAGCTTTACCTGCAAGCCTATCAGCTTTCTCATTTCCTTGCATGCCTGTGTGCCCTGGCACCAATATGAAACACATGCGTCAGCCCTGACCACCTTAGAGACTTCAACCTCTGTATTCAGACCCAGCCCATCACTCTTTCTCTGAGCACCAGAGAAAACATGTGTGGGTAAAGGTCTATCTCCAGCTAAGTTATTGCTTTGGTAACTGCTGTGACCTCCATGGTCAAACTACTTGTAGTCACAACAAAAAAGCCAAAAGTGCTGTTGGGGAGTGGAGTCTCATAAGCTCTTCAATGGACCCACATACTTGTTAACAGTCCCACTGAAGAAATTATAATTTATAAATGTTAAAAGTATAGGAACTGTTCCACATCTTCAGATATGTTGGGCATACAGGGCTAGACCTATATCTTACAGACTAGTCAGCAGTCGAAGAGTGAAGCGATCAACATCACGCCAGCCGCCTTTTTTTTCCTGAACTGTATCTGGTACCCAGTTAAAGCTGGGTCGACCTGATAGCCAAGGTCATTGCTGAAGAAAGTCTGGCTCTGTTCAGACTTGAACCCATAACCTTCAGATCCGCAAGTGCGTGTCTACTAGCCACTATAGTACCATGGCTACAAATATTAGAATCACAAGAAGAATTTCATTCTAAAGTTGTGTGGCTACTGGGAGGGGGGGGGGGGGGGGGGGGGGGGTGATTTCGTACATGATACCATGGAATCGTCAAAATTGTTCTCATGTTTCTTTACTCTTCTTCTCGTTCACCGGCTGTAAACTCAGTGGAAAAGTTCTTGCTGTTCATCCACTTCTGGACTGTAGTCTTGGTACAGAAATTTAATTCTATGTGCATAAACATTTTACAGACTTGTCTGTTTGTAGGCAGGCTGATGGTTCCTCGAGTCTCAGGCAGATGCACTTTGACTTTGTAGGAAATACTTCTAAATAGCCGACTTTTATGACATATTTTTTTAGGGGAGGGGCAGTGGGCACTCACTGGGCGATGTGGTCAGCATCACGCCAGCCACTTTTACTTCCCAAGAATATACCTGGTACCCACTCAAGGCTGGATTGACCTGGTAGCCAAGGTCATTTCTGGAGAGAGAGAGAGAGAGAAAAAAAGTCCAGCAGCAATACATTTGTATGACAGGTTAGAGGCACATCAAGGCGGCGTCTTCTACTCTTCCTCCGGCTTTCTCGTCAGTGGTGGTGGTGTTGGGGGGAGTGATGATCCTTTTACAGCTCTTGATGCTGTCGTTCTCTCTTTCTCTGGGTCTTTCCACTGCTCTATGTTCACTACATTTCTTCAGCAGGGAAGAAACCATTTCAGATGTACAATGTCTGAGAAAGTTAATATCGACTTCATGACTATTTTGTTACTCACTTTTGAGAAAGCTGTCGGCTTAAAGACTGAGGTTTAGAATTCCCTGAAGGCGCCGGAGACGCGCTTTTCTTCTGTTGATGAACAAACAAAACCAGATCACAACATAAATATCATTTATGGCTGCTTCGTTTGAGAAACTCTCAAGCAAATTTTATTCATTTACTGTAGATCAGTTTCAGCACTGGAAAAAAAAAACTTTAAACAAGAATAACGTCAACTTTTTCTTCTTCTTCATTGACTGTAAATTATGATGGAAAGTCCCAGCTGTTCATACACTTCTGCACTATGGTCTTGTTACAGAAGAGTTTTGCATGCCCATCCTTTTACAATCTAGCTTATTTGTGTGCAGACTCTTGGTTTCTTGCATCTCAGAAAATGCAACACCCACTTAGTCAATTATGACATGTGTGGGGGAGGTTTGGGAGGGGGAGGGGGGTGAGCTAGTTTGTGAAGTCCTGTAATGAACATGCAACTAACTTTGTTTTAATATCTAATAAATGATCACTTTTAAAAAAAAAAGTGTGCACAAAATTAAATTTACTATAAAATACAAATACATTTTTAAGATGGGCGTATTAGAAAACTATCGCCATAATACGATGTTCTTGTTGTCTTATGAGTAATACAGTGGCACAAAGGATGAGTTAACGGTCTTCCTTAAGAATGCAGGGATATGCACACCAGTAACTGTTTCTATACTGGAATTACATATGTATTATCAAATAAAATGGTTACAATGGGATGAAAATTATGACTATAATGTACAACAGAGAAGAAAGTCATATGTGGTTTTCTTAGATAATTGTAGCCATACATACATTTGCTATAAGGAAAAGTCAAGAGCTATCAAATGAAACATGCACACAAACTTACATCTTATTCAACAAAAGAGAACATGTCAATGGTAGTGTAACAGTCAACATTCAGCAAAATGACGTATTCAAACACAAAACCAGATGCTACTCACTCACTCTCTTTCTCTCTACAAGCAACCATTTCCCACCACCCACTTGTTGTTTTTTTTCCCCCAAAAATTAAATACTATTTTACAGAAGGATCCATCTATGTATTTGACCAATTGTTCATTAATAATACTATTGTGTCAGTTATTTCAGGGCAAAAAATAAAAATTTTCTGTATCTCTCATTTGAAGATTTTGAGTATTGTCTACCTCTATTTTCCCTAAAGTACTTTCCTTTATATATTCTGAACTGTTTCAAACAAGCATTTCAGACAGGGCTAAAGGAGAACTTCACTATTTTGAACTTCTAAATGTTTTTTTGTTGTTGTTTGTTTGTTTGAGTATCCAGAAGCCATGAGTTGTTAACCCTTAGACTCGGTATTATGGATATCGCAACCTTTCTGCCTTGATTCCATTATAAATACCGCAAATCTGGGAGAAAATGTGGCTTTTCTGCCTACCCCCGGGATTAAACCCGGACCACAAGGAGTTTGTCACCCGGTCTCCGCGCAATCCGGTTTAGCCAACTATGCTAGAGAGCCAGGCAAGTGTTTCTTTTAAAAGACAACATAATTTAAAAAAATTTGGTCAACACTAGATAAAATGTTTATTTAAAAAATGGAAAAAGCAAACTCAATGTGTCTACTGCTTTTCTTAAATATCTCCCAGCTGACAGGTTTACCACAATAAAGAAGAAACATTTAAAAATCATCTGTGTTAAACAGGCATGTCTTTTAAACAATCAATCAACTACTACAGCAAGAATACAAGTACAAGATATAACTAGATTATACAAAGATTATCTGTCCGAAGACAAAACAGACTTGAAAATGTCAAAATAACAACAGTAGGTAGAAGTTACAAGTGATTTTTGAAGAAGAAAAACCATGAATACAAAATATATAATAATTAGAAGATAAAATATTAGGTCACACCTGACAAGCTGTATCAGCAGAGTTTACCTCTTCTGACTGAGATTTATGTCTTTTTCTGTCCACTTCTTCGTGTTTTTCCTGTTGTAAAGTAGAAGATAGCAAATAAATTCTAAAATACATCACCTTATTCTAAAGTTTGAAATACATTTTATATGTTTACCAGAAACATATCATAAACAGCATATTCATACCAACACTGTGCTACCAATGCCAGACTTGGACATTATCAAAGGCTAAGCTACGTAAAATTACCACCTGTGAAATGAGATGCCTCAGAAAAGCCGCCAACTTAACCATCTGAGAAAAAGTTAGAAATTATATTATCAGACAGACTAGGAACAACATCATGTAGAAAATGCACTGAGAAGCAGAAGATCGAATGATTTGGTCATTTAGTAAGAACACAGCCAGAACAACTACCAGCGCAGGCGCTACACATGAAGAGATCTGAAACGTGAGATCATGAGGCTGTACTAGGAGAATAAGAACTGATGATATTAAAGCCCATCAAGCAATGGATCCCAAACTGTTCCTCCCCACAACGCTTAACGGAAAAAGTAAAAACTGATGCTAATGATGGTTAATAAAGTGCAGGCATCATTAACCTTAAAATGACAACGAGGAGAAGTAAATAATATTCATTATCTTTTACCCTAATTGTGTGTTTTTTTTTCATGTGGAAACTTTATTCTTGTTTCTACTGTATTTGTCCTTACAAGAGGCAGCTGACCCACTGTGTTGTAAGTGACAGCTAAGCTAAAATATCTGCACATTTAGGCAGTGCCCTCTCAGAGCACAGGCCTGCTGGGCACTGCCCGGGAAAGCCCCATGAAGATAGGGGCCCCTTGTTAATCTGTGTATGTCTAGTGACTCGCTATTAGCAAATTAATGTTTGTGAGTGGTTGTCATTGGGGCCCCAGCACACTGCACTGCCCAGGAGCTAATTATACTGTTTTAAGGTGAGTCTGCCTTTAGGTACGTGTTCTATGTTAGCAAAGCCCTAGCTAGTTGTCTGTCACAACACGCTTGTTAATGGGGCCAAAAAAAAAACATAAGTGGAACCCAGACAGGGAGGAAACATAATTTTGTTAATTACACCTTCTTTCTTCATCTCACTGATACCAGGTTGTAGCCTACTGTCTTAGTTTTAGGTATTTTCCTTCACATCTCAGGTGGCCTGGGTGGTGTGTTTGTTCACCTTTTTACAGGTTTTAGCTACACCATTTATCCACCTCTTTCTTGGTCTTCCCTTTTGTTCTGCTGTAAAAAGCCGAATATGCAGTTTGGTCTGGCTGCATTTTCACTAGATGGCTGAACTGTTAATTATATGATCATGTAAAATGGAGACCACAGAGATGTCTCTTTGAAGAATGTTAACAATCTTATGGACAGCAGTCAAGTACAGCAAGGGGTCAATTCAGCAAGAGAGGCAATTATCCGCAGAAAAATCATCAGTTTTCTGTCACATCATAAGATGAAGTTTGGAGGAAATAGTGTGTGATGGCCAAGATGTCCATAGGTGTTTGTCAAAGGGAGAAAAAGGCAAGTGAAGGGAAGATGACCAGTGGTTAAACTTCTCAAGAAGACAAGGAAAAATGTCAATGGAGGATCAGTCTCTAACACTACTGGTGACTATTAAAAGGTCAGAAGATTTAGGCATTTGAGAGTTTAACTAATACTGATGCATGGTAGTGTAGAACGTCATGTTATAATTAACAGCCCCGTCACCCTAACTCTACCCAAGAAACACATCACACACTTTTTTTTTAAATAAATAACTAGATTTAATTGCCCAGCTCCACCAGGGATAATGAACAAGTTTTATTCTCCCGTTCTCTACCCCATCTTGGTCTCCACCACTGCCGTGTGTGTGATAGAAACTACATGGAAGAGTGAGCACAACATGAGCCTTCATCTTAAATTTTCTCTTTGATGCCCTAGTTTCCTCAAACCGTCAGTATCCAATTTCAGTTCCTGCTTGGCGATTTTTCGTCTTTTCTCTGAATTTTCTGTAGCAAATAACTGTTGATGGTGGGGTGTGGAAGCTGGCTCCGAAATGGAGGGGTAGAAGCCTCCTAGGCCCAGTCTTCCCACCAACCTGGCGCAGTGACTCGAGCTGGTTACAATTCAGCATCTTGGCCGATAAATTCATCACTTCCTCTAACACCCCTATCTTACAGTCTAAGTTACAAATGAGATAACAGTGAAATGTCAATTGTAAAAAAATAAAATAGTCAATGTCTTCTTGTGTTCGCTTCTAATTGACATCGACAGACAAGTTCTTGTGATAAACGACTGTTTTGAAGAGCTCCCTTTTTGTTCCTTACAACTGTGAGTGCAATGTTGACACACTGGGACAGTGTTCCCTTCTTGAAGGGCTGTACAAGGGACATTCTTCCAGGATATCTTCTGTAGTCTGCAAACACAGCCACAATGGTGAACGACAGACAAAGCCTGTGCATATGCTTGTTAAGTTTGTTACTAGTTCCACTGCCTGGCTGTTCACCTATGACAGAAGGAAAATTCTTATAATTTTAAAAAAAGCTGACAACAGCATAAGGTGAGAACACGTGCCAGTGAACATGGCATGTTTGCATGATGACAGTACTCACATTGGAATGATTGGCGTTGACACTAGGACTAGGAGATGGAGAGCTTGAATTTGTTGAGGAAGGTGTGCTCATTTTGTCCACCAAGAATTCATCACCTTCAGTCGGTGATGATGCTAGCGCTGTCGCATCCGCTGGTTCATCAACAACAAAACGGAGAAAACAAGGTGTCAGCATATACAGGGTACAAACAAGTGTAGGCATAAATGAAATAAAGATGTACACGTGTCTTAGCTGTTTCAATGACAGTGAATAAAGAAAGAACACTGTGAATGTATTAAACATATAGTCGTGTCTCTGCTGTTTCAATGACAGTAAATAAAGAAAGAATACTGTGTAAATGTATTAAACATATACTCATGTGTCTGCTGTTTCAATGACAGTGAATAAAGATGGAACACTGTGAATGTATTAAACATATAGTCGTGTCTCTGCTGTTTCAATGACAGTGAATAAAGAAAGAAAAATGTGTAAATGTATTAAACATATACACATGTATCTGCTGTTTCAATGACAGTGAATAAAAGAAAGAATTCTGTGTAAATGTATTAAAACATATACACATGTATCTGCTGTTTCAATGACAGTGAATAAAAGAAAGAATACTGTGTAAATGTATTAAAACATATACACTTGTATCTGCTGTTTCAATGACAGTGAATAAAGAAAGAATACTGTGTAAATGTATTAAAGATATACACAGGTATCCACTGTTTCACAGACAGTAAATAAAGAGAGTACACTGTGAATGCATTAAAGATTTATTTGCTGTTTCATTGACAAGGAAGAGAATAATGTGTGAACACACAGAAGGTATACATGTGTAAGCATAAATGCATGAGTAACCACTATTTGGTTGACAAGGAAGAGAATAATGTGTGAACACAGAAGATATACATGTGTAAGCATAAATGCATGAGTAACCGCTTTTTCGTTGACAAGGGAGAGAATAATGTGTGAACACAGAAGATATACATGTGTAAGCATAAATGCATGAGTAACCGCTATTTCGTTGACAAGAAGGAGAGAACAAAGTGTGGATACAGTGACGATTTATATGTGTAGGTGTCAATACATGAAAAAACTCTGTTTCCCTGATAAGCAAGGGAATATTGTTTGAATATAGTGAAGATATACATGAGTAATTTCCGATTTTAATTTTACGAATGAGCTGTTTACAGCCACTAAATGATACATTTGTTTAAAAGTTAAACACAGAAAAAGATATTTTTGTTTTTTAATGCCAGTGCTGCCAACGATAAACCTCAATGACCTCCAACGGGTCAATGGTTATGTTATGATGTTTTCAGTAACTTCTTTTTCATTGAAAAGAAAAAAAAGAACAACGTGTGAACACACAAAAGATATCCATATGGCATATAAAAATATATATATATATATATAAGCAAACCAGAAGTAGAACTATAAAGCTTCACAGAATAATTCCCGATATAAATTTTACTTTGGGATGAGCTGAAAGCCCAGGTTTGTAAAAAAAAAAAAAAATTAAAATCCCAGATCGCTACAGATGCAAACACAGCTGTCACTTCACAAATGAACATACTAAAATAGCAGCAAACAATCCTACTTATCAAAAGCTTGAAGATGTAGGTTAGTTATACTTACTGACAATTTCTTCCAGATCTAAGTCATCATACAAATATGCATTTTCTTGAAAATTGGGATCTTGGTTCGATTCCACATAATACTCAATATCGTCTCGGAGTTCCCTGATCTGAAGTCATAAGGAAAAGAGAGGGAAAATATTCAAATATCAAACTGTTTACAACTGTCACAATGCAAAGCAGACTAAAAGCATGCATAACAATGAATGAGGTTAAACAGGTCATAATTTTTTAAACATATTGGGGAGAATTACCTGCACTTTTTATGACTACTAAAGAAGAAAACAATATAGGGCTAATGGTGTTATAATGGTGATAAATTGCTTAAGTGTGCACTCTATTCCACTTGAAACTTGCAGGATTTCTTATCTAAAATTACAAGGGAACCAAAAAAGAATTATCAAATAACAGGCAGTTACATTACATGCTGCTTGGAAATAATGTGACAACATGCTTTTTATGATTACCAAACAAGGTTTGTAATGTAAAATAACAAAGCTGGTACTGTTAGAATGGTGGCGACAGTGTATGTGTTCTTTGTTTTAATTGCATTGTGCACAATTTCTTAAACAAAATTATGTAAAAACAGAAAAATAATACATAACAAAAAAGTCACAAACAACAAACTGCACCATTTATTGTGCTGGTAAAATGTACCTAGGAATTTTAGTGAGTGGAAGGACATAGAAACTAGTGAACATTTCAGTCAAAACAGAAAAACTTGGTTAGAAAACTGAATTTTAGGCCCATGGGGGTTCCGAGGTCCCATTTTGTGGTTGAAAACTGCCCCCTAAAAACAAATCTTAAAAGGTGACTGATCAGAGGTTTGATGGAACCCCAATATAATGTCCTAAATATCCTTTCTAGTGCACACAAAGAAGAAGATTAACAATCTTAAATAAGTCATTCACATTTTCATAAACCAAAAAACTTTTTTTTCATGATCATTAATTTTGCTTCATAATTACAAGATGACTGGTTCTACCAGCTGAGGGCAAGTCGGACAGAGGGATTAATTAAAAGTTGTACATTCAGAAGCAACCGCAATCTACTTAATGTAAATTTGACTGATAAAACCAAAACAGCCAATTAAAACACTAAGATTGGTTCTGCAACATTTTGTAAAGAATATGCAACACCAACTTTTTATAAACGTTTGCATTATACTCATTAAAACTATCAGTGCAGAGAAAGCCAAACAAACAAAAAAAAAAGCTCACCTTATCAACAGACAACTTGTCATTATCAACTTGTCTCATGATTTTCTCTAATGTCTCTATATGAAACTTATGCCTCTCTTGCTGTGTTTTTAGCTCCTCACACTTCGGGTCCTTGAAAAGGAAGCAGGCATAACATTAACATCCTGTTTACTGTAACAACAGACACACAACAAAAATTTAATGAATTCAAAAGCAAAAACCCAAGAAAACTGATAAACATAAAAAATGTGAACGAATTCATAATAGATGAAGAAATAAGATGAAAGAATGACGGAAAACTGCTAGTATCAAGACAACAAACCATAGCGATATACTGGGCACATGCTGTGAAGAAGCGACCAGAGAATCACCAAACAGGCATTGAAATGGCAATCAAATGGACTGAGAAGACATGTAAGTTCAAAGGAAACCTTAAGACGAACAGTGATGAGGCCCAAAGTGCTGGACTGGATACAATCCATGATACTGAAATACACGCACAGGAGAGAACAGAATGAAAGAACAGACTGTGGGCCCTGTGTGATATATTATCATCATCATGTGCCCTGCCAACTGCCACTCATGCATCAGATCATGATCCCTGGTTGCCTGGAACAGCTCTCTTGATGATATCCCTCCATGCCATCGTTTCAGCACATCCAGCATCATCTCTCCTGGTCTGCCTCTACCCATTGATCTTCCCAGTTGTCACGATGTTCTCCAATGTCTCTCTTCTCATGTGTGACATATAACAGGACAAAGTCATGATTATAATGATCCTGTAATAACAGGACTTAACTTTCAAAACTCTTCTTCCTCAATGAGTGTATACTGCACTTCTCCCCCTCTGCCTCACGCATTAGTGTGTCCAACAGCGTGTGCTGTCTTCCTGTCTATTTGTCCACATCCTTCCGGTTGATTTATGTGGATGTTTTTCTCCAAGTTCTTGTTAATAGTGCTTAAGTGTTTCTCAACCCTCTTTTCAATCAATTTTTTTAAGTCTGTAGGGTCCATGCTATATATTCAAGCGAGATGCCACCAAAAAAGGTTGATAACCATTGCACCAAGGATTTAATAAAGTAATTCCTTTGTGGAGGAATAAAATTGTTAAAGATTTGGTAAAGTAAAGTAATTCCTTTGTGGGAGAATTAAACTGTTAAAGATTTAATCAAGTAAAGTAATTCCTTTGTAGACCAAAAAGAAGATGGAGAGATAATGAGAGACCTACACACACTTGGTGTAACAACTGGAGGGAGAAGGCCAATCAGAGAGATAAATGGAGGCGGATGATATCTGCAGCAATGAACCTCAAGGGCTCAGAATGCTGAAGAAGAAGAGATTAATTCCCCTGGGGAGGAAAAAACTGTTAAGATTCAATGCTGTTAAAAATGTGTACCCGAAGCAAATAACAGAAAGCCAAGACAGGCAAACTCACTTTCCCCTTTTTTTTGTTTGTACCAGCCCTTGATTCAAGTTCACTCTCAAACTGATCGAGCTGCAACTGGAGGCTATCAATGACATTCTGAAAAGCAAAACTTCCAATTAATTATTACCAAAATGTTAAATAAAAAGCAACAACTATGCAAAAGATTATCTGAATAACAAAACAGTATGTCTAGCGTACGTCGGCTCTGTGGCTAAGTCGATGCGAACGCTTCGTAATGCTGGGGTACCGGGTTCGATCCCAGCTGCGGGCCATACGCCTTCCGTTGGTTTCGACAGTGGTACCAGGGAGCCGACCGTCCAGAAAGCAACAGCAAACTACTGGACATAAATTTGCCTAGTGAAACCACACAACAGCCAGGGGCTGATGGGGTTGGTTCTGCAACGTCCTGTAAAGGATTCAATGTCTAGCGTACACAAGATCATCTTCAACGTCCAGGCATACCCCCGTACAGGGCTCCGTCTTCCTCATATACTCCACCCAAAGGCAATCAGCAGAGTGCATAAACCTCATGGCAAACAGTAACCATAATGTCTTCTGTTTAGCCTTTAAAAAAGGCGATTAGTACACCTTTTTGTGCTGTACAGCTAGGCTGCGACATTTGCACATTTTGATCGGTTGTCTTGCCGTACACTAAGGGGAGGGTGTTCCCTGAAAAGGGTTTGAGGGCACTCCTCAGAATAAAGGTCCCAAATTATTGAGGTTAAAAACATACCCTAACAGTGCCTCATTAGTATAACTATTGAAAACCGGGAAATAAAATGTATTTAACCCTAACCCTAAGGCAAAAAACATCTACAGCTGCCACGTCATCAATTGGTAGAACATTACTGCTAAGCTGTGTCGCGGAGCTTATGGCATGCCCGCCATATCTGCCGGAAATAAATCATAATTTTACATATCACTGAGGCCCTGTTAGGGTATGTATTTAGCGTCGATAATTTGGGACTGTTATTGTGAGGAGTGCTGGTTATAGACCACTGCTGTAGAGAGAGCAGGCCATGAGACACAGCCTGGGGCAGTAAAACCTATTCTTGGGTCTTCACACATTTGTTTTTAATTAAACACACAGGTCATTAAAGAAAGTTTGAGGACCAAAAATCCATGGCACGTGAGAACTGGATAAGACGAGAAATTTTCTGCTGGGTGGTGGGTGATAAGAGCCATGTTTTACTAAATCTTCTTCTTTTGTCGATATCTGCTGATGCCGCTAGGCGTCGAATTTCATCAGTTTTATTAAATGCTATAGGGTAATATGTATGTGTAATATGAGAAGTTCCAGTCGACTCAATGAATATCTGACAACTATCATTTCACAGACATCTAAAAATTAATAATAGTGCTCCATAAATCTGCTATAAAATAATTGTCCCCAGAAAACTCCCCAAAAAAATTGCGTTTACTAGCTGCGGAAGAAAGTTCTGGCTCTTTGTTCATTTGTGGACTTGAAATCTTGATCAAATTGGTTCCTTGCCTCTCAGGCAAATTCATTCCGATTTTTAAAAAAAAAACAATAACAATCATACGTGGTTAAATTTCATGACATGCTTGTTTAGGGGAAGTGGGTCTATTCTTATTTTCCCCACAAAATAGGACGCCAAACTCACAAGGAGTTGTCATAAACTGACATCTGGTAGACATCTACCAAACATTAACTGTACAGTCAACTAACTGGTTGGTAGCATTTAAATTCAGAAGTATACTCTTAAAAGGGCGACTGGCTAGACTACAACATCTGCGCATTTCAGGCCAACAACATCTGTTTTCATCAAACTTATAATTATTCACCTTTTATGTAGGACAAGCTTGTCAGAGGTTTTTGATTCCCATAGAGCCTGGTAATACACAGGACAATTTCAGAAGTATAAGCGCTGTTAAGTTTTTATGCAGTAAGCTCTAGACGTGATTTAAGAAATCCTTACCGACAACCATTGGGTGGTATCCGCTTTCTCTTTTGTCTGGGGGTCTAGCTTTGCAGCAGCACCTAGACCATCTTTAGAGTATGCTTTTGTCTTTGTCTCTCTCTCTACCACTTTAAAGCGCTCCATTTGCTGTGCAAAGACACAAAGTACATACATCAAGAATGCTTTAATCACTAAAAATGTGATCTGGACTTCGATCTTGTTCCAGAACGTCAGTTGTGCTTGCACATAAACCAATGTTTGAATTGGGATGGAAAGGTAACCCCCCCCCCCCCCCCTCGCTGTGGTGGTACTCCAGCACCAAGCCCTGAACTTGTCAAGACATCAACTCTGTGGTCATCCCTACCAGGGGCCTGGACAATGCAGACAGGATCAATGCCTGCCTGGAGGAGAGGGACCAACAGCTTGCACAGATAAGCCGTATCTGCAACACAAAAAGTCTGAAAACAAGATGAAAGTCCAGGCACAGATAAAAAACCTGGATTTTCACCCTGAGTTCCCAGTCACTGATCCAGAAGATATAGTTCTCTGATGTCTACGATCATAATAATGAAATTAGACAACAAAATCCCTGTGTTAGTTCCGGGGCCCCATTGTGGGGGAAACAAAAATAGACCCACTGGGAGCTTCCTTCGAAGTCGGAGTAAATCTCCAGTTTCTGGAACAGGACTAGAGTCCAGAAGTGGACGAACAACCAGAACTTTTCCGCCAGAGTTCACAGCTGGCAAACGCAAAGATGAAGAAGAAAATAAAAAATACTAATTTTCAAAATGACAGTATGTGGCTTTGGTTGTTTAAATTATGTAGGTTTGTTTGTTTGTGTAGTGCTACTGTGTACCAATACAATTGTTGCATGTTGGCACCTTTCCGTCTTTCCAGACGATAAAGTTATCTTGTGCTATGAGAAGACAGAGGACTTGTAAGACTAATTCACGTTAAAACAAGTCTTCCGCAATAAAAGCATGTGATTTCAGGAACGTTGTTGCCATCATGTGTATTTAGTGAGTTTCTTTTGAGATGCTCAGCTCTCATCCTTTCTGCAGTCATTTCTTCTTTCACTCCCATTCCCTTCCTGATTTGCTCCATCCATGCACAGTCCATCGCATTTGTTTTCTTATAAATCTACCTCAATGTCTGTATCAATCATGTCCCATTTGCACATATCTTTATGTCAGGGCTAAGGCTGTACCAAGAGTCTCAGTAGTGATTTATTTATCAGCACTAAGGTCAACCCAACTTCATAAAACGGATACTCGAAACAATATTCTGGACAAAAAGAAACAGAAAATCAGGGGAGGGAACAGATCCTCCCATTTTGTTATGAGACTGCATCTGAAGGTCCAACAGTTTACAGTTCTACATAAGTGTCTATCTGCAGTACCTGTCTACCTTTACTTTAAGGGGCTGTTTTGCCAAATACAGCACCTAAATGAATGTGTGGAACCTTAAGTTATGGCATGAACATACATCTAATAAACACTTGTAAAAAAATCCTTATGTTAACAGCAAATGTACTATCAGAAGAGAGAACACCCTCAACCATTCACTATAAGTATGTCAGGGCTGTGACTAATCTCCCTACTATTCATAATTTACAATCAGAACATCTCTGTAAAGAAACCAAACCAACCAAACAAGGACTACAATATGTCAAGGAGAAGAAGACCCAAAGACAAACAGTTTCAACAAAGAACTACTATTTGCGGGTGACCAAGTATTAACTGCTACTTTTGAAACAGAACTGCAAGACCACATATAAATGATTGAAACAAAGTATACAAAGAGCAGAACATAAAAATTAATGCCAACAAAACAGAGGTCATGGCCATAACCAAAGTAGACAGAATAAATAATCCAGCTCCTGGAACACCCTCTGAAACAAACCAAGAACTTAAAATACTTAGGAAGCATAACATCATCACTAGGTAGAATACAAGATCTATGACAGATGTAACAGAAAAAACCAAATGGGCAAATGGCACCAACACTGAGAAACAAACATGGGTTATCCTCCAAATAATGGGCCCAAAATATGGCGGCTAAAAACAGGGCAGCAGTCACGTGTCACTTGGGCACTTCCGGCGACTTAATTTGCGAACTTCCGCCGCGTGGGGGATACTCTCGACGGTGGCGGTAGTCACCGGAAGTTTGCAAATTAAGTCGCCGGAAGTGTGCGATTGACACGTTACTGAGGCTTTGTGAGGTGTTTTTTTTTACGGCCGCCATAATATGTGCCCGAGGATAGTCCAAACGTGTGTCGGTAAATATAAAAAAAGCACCCGATGACACAATTTTCTTATCAACCCTGTGCTATCAATGCTAGACATGGACAACAACTTGAAAGAGAAAAGAATAATTACGACAAGCGAAATGACACTCCTGTGGAGGGCTCTTAATTCAATATGGGAAATAATGAAATCCAAAGGAAATGAGGGTAGTGGCAACTATCAATTAACACGTAAAACAGTATATCACCGGAGGCAATGATGTACAGACAAGGTGGGAAGCACAGAGGCTAATCATGCAAACGATGGACAGAAGGAATAACAGAGTCCCTGGGAATTCCCATTTACGAAGCGCACAAACAGGAACTTTGCCGCAAATTATACTACAAGAGGATCAAAATGAGATGAATGCATTTCTACTAGAAATGATAAAATGTCTCAATAGTTACCGTCTCAATTAATTTGCGGTGATCTAAAAGCGAAGACTTGTCTTTGATGTCGCTGTTGGTAATCCATGATTTGATCTGATCTCGAAGCCTCTGTTTAAACAAAAACAAAATCGAAAAACATTAAATACAGTTATTCAATCAACGATCAATATAAATTTTTTTTAAATGTATTTTTTTTAGTTTCAAATTTTCTTTACATTAGCAAATGTCTTTAGAATTAAAGCAACTCTATTTCGTATGTTTGCTCAAACTGAAACCCTTTACAAATAAGTGATTAAACTATCTAACCCGTGTGGGGTCCAAGACCCCATTGTGGAGAAAACAAGAACAGGCCCACTGTCTCCCCAACAAGCAAGTTGTAAGAGTCCACTAATTGGGGGCTTCCTACAAAGTCTGAATGCAACTGCACGTGAGGCAAGGAACCAACAATCTGCATACAAATAAGTCAGATATGTAAAAGAGATGTGCATGCAACACTTAGGTTCCGGAACAAGACCAAACTACTCAGGTGGAAGAGCTACCAGATCTTTCTGCCGAAGTTTAAAGCCAATGATTGCAAAGAAGAAGATTAAATTATCTAAAAGAAAGAAATATACTTTTCATAGATGACAGTTTTCAATGCATAAATTTATTAGGCCTTTCACAAATGGATAAAGAAAATAATCTTCTTCTTCTTCTTTCGTTGCCTGTTATGTGGAGAAGGCTGAAAAACAGACATAAAAAGCTGGACTACAACCAAGGAAAATGTTAGGGACAATATACGAAAAATATCTCATGGGTGACACATATTGAAGTCACACCTGTGCATGGAAAAAAAACTGCATCAAATTTTGTGGTTAAAACTTTAAAGGCAGAACAGAAGACATCCATAAAGTCACAGGAGGAACAAAAATGATATGGGCAAGTATATCTTCTGCTTCTCAGCGATCACCGACTATATTTCTTCTCCCCCAAAATGGAACCCAGACAGAGACGAGCAAGCATACAATTTACCTGAAGTTTTTTAATCTCCTTCTTAAGATCAGTTTCAAATTTTTCTTTTTGATTACTATTTGTTGCACTCTGAACCTGAGGAAGCAAAAGATAAGGATCAATATGCTATTTAAACGTGGTAGGCAAAGTAGAAACATAACTTAAATGCAATCTACATTCAAAAATCAGTTTCCATCCAGTTGTCTTTTTACTGACCATTTATTATTTATTTTACACATTTAAAAAAGTTTTTGCAAACAATTAAAGGTTTAAAAAGATTATATTTCTTCTTTATGTTTGCTGTCTGATTAAGCGTTATTTGCTTTCTACAAAACCAACTCTTTCTTTACAACTGTTAGTTACCATTCTCTCTTCTGTCTTCCATCTCCCTAAGGAGAAATAAAACACACGAGTGTCAATCTTTTGCACACATTGTTTTTTAAAATGATTATTTGCTCCCGCTCTGTTTCCTGATTTGCCTCGACACTATGGTGACCTGACATATATTTTTCATGGTAGGGACTTTTTCAGGGAATGTCTGGAATTTTTTTTTTTTTTTTTTCAAATACAAAAATATAAATTTAATTAAGTATTTATATAATCATTGCTTTATAAATCAACATGTCTTGTCCTATGTTTCTAACACAGAGCAACGTCCATCTATCTGACGTTCTTAACTAGGGTACATCTTAAATTATTCTTTTTCACGTTCACCAGCTGTAAACTCCAGCAGAAATTTCTGGTTGTTCATCCACTTCTGGACTCTAGAAACTGAGTTCTGCATGCACATTTGTTTTACAGGCCTGACCTCTGCATGCAGACTGTTGGTTCCTTTCCTCTCAGGCAGATGTACTTCGACTTTGAAGGATGCTCCTCATTAGTGGACTTTTACGACATGCTTGTTGGCCAGACACTGGGTCTATGCTTGTTGGCCAGACACTGGGTCTATGCTTGTTGGCCAGACACTGGGTCTATTCTTGTTGGCCAGACACTGGGTCTATTCTTGTTGGCCAGACACTGGGTCTATTCTTGTTGGCCAGACACTGGGTCTATTCTTGTTGGCCAGACACTGGGTCTATGCTTGTTGGCCAGACACTGGGTCTATGCTTGTTGGCCAGACACTGGGTCTATGCTTGTTGGCCAGACACTGGGTCTATGCTTGTTGGCCAGACACTGGGTCTATTCTTGTTGGCCAGACACTGGGTCTATGCTTGTTGGCCAGACACTGGGTCTATGCTTGTTGGCCAGACACTGGGTCTATGCTTGTTGGCCAGACACTGGGTCTATTCTTGTTGGCCAGACACTGGGTCTATGCTTGTTGGCCAGACACTGGGTCTATGCTTGTTGGCCAGACACTGGGTCTATGCTTGTTGGCCAGACACTGGGTCTATGCTTGTTGGCCAGACACTGGGTCTATTCTTGTTGGCCAGACACTGGGTCTATGCTTGTTGGCCAGACACTGGGTCTATGCTTGTTGGCCAGACACTGGGTCTATGCTTGTTGGCCAGACACTGGGTCTATGCTTGTTGGCCAGACACTGGGTCTATGCTTGTTGGCCAGACACTGGGTCTATGCTTGTTGGCCAGACACTGGGTCTATGCTTGTTGGCCAGACACTGGGTCTATGCTTGTTGGCCAGACACTGGGTCTATGCTTGTTGGCCAGACACTGGGTCTATGCTTGTTGGCCAGACACTGGGTCTGTTCTTGTTGGCCAGACACTGGGTCTATGCTTGTTGGCCAGACACTGGGTCTATTCTTGTTGGCCAGACACTGGGTCTATGCTTGTTGGCCAGACACTGGGTCTATGCTTGTTGGCCAGACACTGGGTCTATTCTTGTTGGCCAGACACTGGGTCTATACTTGTTGGCCAGACACTGGGTCTATGCTTGTTGGCCAGACACTGGGTCTATGCTTGTTGGCCAGACACTGGGTCTATGCTTGTTGGCCAGACACTGGGTCTATTCTTGTTGGCCAGACACTGGGTCTATGCTTGTTGGCCAGACACTGGGTCTATTCTTGTTGGCCAGACACTGGGTCTATTCTTGTTGGCCAGACACTGGGTCTATGCTTGTTGGCCAGACACTGGGTCTATACTTGTTGGCCAGACACTGGGTCTATACTTGTTGGCCAGACACTGGGTCTATTCTTGTTGGCCAGACACTGGGTCTATACTTGTTGGCCAGACACTGGGTCTATGCTTGTTGGCCAGACACTGGGTCTATTCTTGTTGGCCAGACACTGGGTCTATGCTTGTTGGCCAGACACTGGGTCTATGTTTGTTGGCCAGACACTGGGTCTATACTTGTTGGCCAGACACTGGGTCTATACTTGTTGGCCAGACACTGGGTCTATGCTTGTTGGCCAGACACTGGGTCTATGCTTGTTGGCCAGACACTGGGTCTATGCTTGTTGGCCAGACACTGGGTCTATGCTTGTTGGCCAGACACTGGGTCTATGCTTGTTGGCCAGACACTGGGTCTATACTTGTTGGCCAGACACTGGGTCTATTCTTGTTGGCCAGACACTGGGTCTATACTTGTTGGCCAGACACTGGGTCTATACTTGTTGGCCAGACACTGGGTCTATTCTTGTTGGCCAGACACTGGGTCTATGCTTGTTGGCCAGACACTGGGTCTATGCTTGTTGGCCAGACACTGGGTCTATGCTTGTTGGCCAGACACTGGGTCTATGCTTGTTGGCCAGACACTGGGTCTATGCTTGTTGGCCAGACACTGGGTCTATGCTTGTTGGCCAGACACTGGGTCTATGCTTGTTGGCCAGACACTGGGTCTATGCTTGTTGGCCAGACACTGGGTCTATGCTTGTTGGCCAGACACTGGGTCTATGCTTGTTGGCCAGACACTGGGTCTATGCTTGTTGGCCAGACACTGGGTCTATGCTTGTTGGCCAGACACTGGGTCTATGCTTGTTGGCCAGACACTGGGTCTATTCTTGTTTTTCCCTACAATGGGGCCCTGGAACCCACACAGGGAATTCTATATTATGAGCACGTCGAAAAATTATGTAGCTCTCTCAGTTTACAGTTACATCTTATTTTTTTGGGAAACTCAAAAAGTACTTTTAGTACACATTTTTTTTTAAACTATAACTGCAAAGAAATACAAAGATCATTACACTGCTTTTGTAAACCTGCTTTTTTTAATAGATGAAAGTATCGATAGAAATAAAATGTTTTTGCAGTATGCCAGGTGAAATAAGGAAAGATCGACGTAGGAACAATATCAGGAGAAAGAGCACACAGAACCAATACTGAATACAGCAGACCAGGTGATTTGGCCAGGTAACAAGATTAGCTAGCACTAGACAAGGCAGCACAATGACCAATATTATAAATGTACAGCAGTAATAGATCCAGAGGCCCACCACCTACAATATGGACCGTGGAATATCAGAGAAACTGAAAAGCTCTGTATTTGAGGTGAAAAGAAGGGCCAGTTCCAGAGATTTCTTCCTGCCCTGACACTATGAGGCAATATAGGAGGAAGGAAAGAAAATAAGAAGAAATAAACCTGCTGTATGGGAGCTGCAGTGGCACAGACGTTAGCAAGTTTGCCTGTTGACCTGTAGTCTAAGATTAACTCTCCAACAACAACAAAAGTTTTGGGGTTTTTTGTTTCAAATAAGATTTAAAAGGGCTGAATGTAAGATGAGTCTGTGTGCCCTTCCTTTTGTCTTTGCACTCATCATCTGTAAAACTCCATACACCTCTGTTATTTGCCTCCTTTTTCCAGTTGGCAGCTTTGACTCCATGTGTCTGTAGGTCTACATGTCTATTATCTCACCATCGTCTTCTTGGTCTACCCCATGGTCTACCTCCACTCACCCACGTATACATTTCTTCAGCAATCTCTGATCAAGCGCTCAATTCACTGTGAGCCATAAACTGGGATGTCATCTCAAGTCTCTGAGGTTTCTCCACAGCTTAGCTGTCAGGCCAACCAGTCGAGGCCACATGTTTCTTTGCAGCTCTTCCAGGAGAGGACAGTCTTGCAAGACAGGTTCTTGAGTCTGTTCAGCACAAAGATAGGCAGAGAGCTGTTTGGCTCATAACTAATTTATACGAGTATTTGTTGAGTCTGCAGTGAGTAAGCCAACAATATTGTCTTGTTCTGTTCTGATGACTGAGGAACTTTTGTGTATACAGTTTTTGTCTCTCTGTTTTCTGCCTTTCACTCTCTCTGCCCCAATCATTGCAGTTTATCAGCCATGCTAGTAATTAGTTTTGGTTAAAACAGCTGACTAAATATTTATTACATATAAATTTCATTCTCATTATATGGTTTCAAATAGCAAATATCTTGCCAATTAGTGTGCGCAATTCTGCATCTCCACACTTGCTATCCGCATATATCTTCTTCATCGCCATAGCCAGCTGTGATCTCTAGCAGAAAGTTCTGGTTGTTCATCTACTTCTAGTCTTATAACCTTGTTCTAGAACCTGTGTTTTGTGTGCACATCCATTTTACAGATCCTGCTTACCAAGAATATTGGTTCCTCACATTTCAGGCAGATGTAACACTGATGGAAACACTCCAAATTAGTTGACATTTACTTTGGAGACACTGGGTCAATCTTTTTTTCCCACGATGGGTCAGGGAACCAATACTGGCATCTTCATGTATAGATTTGCATGCTGTCATCTTTCCATGCCTTGACAAAAGACTGTCAAGAATAAAACAAATGTTCTGGTTGTTCATCTACTTCTAGTCTTATAACCTTGTTCTAGAACCTGTGTTTTGTGTGCACATCCATTTTACAGATCCTGCTTACCAAGAATATTGGTTCCTCACATTTCAGGCAGATGTAACACTGATGGAAACACTCCAAATTAGTTGACATTTACTTTGGAGACACTGGGTCAATCTTTTTTTCCCACGATGGGTCAGGGAACCAATACTGGCATCTTCATGTATAGATTTGCATGCTGTCATCTTTCCATGCCTTGACAAAAGACTGTCAAGAATAAAACAATTGTATCACCTTCTACCGTTACAATATCACATGTTCTAGGTTTTTTCTTCTCACAGTTTAGTCAAATAAGATGACCGCCTCCATCTGATATGGTTTCCAACACGTACATGCAGAAAACCACCAGCAATAGTGCAATACATGGGTTAATATATGCTTACCTTCTTCCAAATATCCTCGAAGGTCTCCACACCTTCGTCTACTTTTTTGAGACATCTGTCTATTTCTCCTTAGGGGAAACAGATTGACAAAATAGAAACTTATAATCGTAGTATAGGAAATACCCTGTCAAAAACATTATGCTATGTGAAGCTAATTTTACTCTAAAAAAGTCTGGCACTAAGGATAAGCAAAGATGGAATTGTGCACAACGAAACCAATAGTCATAAAAACAACAACCTAAATGTGAGCATCGTGATAATGTTTATACTTATACATCAGAAAATTGTACCCGTGTGGGTTTCCGGGGGAGAACAGACCCAATGATCCCTTAAAAAGCATGATGTAAAAGGTAACTAAGGGTTTGCTACGAGTGAGTGTGTTGCATCAGCTGTCTCGTGATTCTAAAAACATTAATGTTTTAACACCCTGTTATATTTAATCATGGATTTTAATTAGGTAGTGTGATTAAAACTATTGATAATTCAAATTAATGTATGAGGTGTTTATATTATAAATTTGGTTGAAACCAAGTTTACATGTAAACTGTAATTTCTAGTGAAAAATTATCACCTTACGTTTACTTATTTCCAAACTAAAGAAAGAAAAATACCTGCACTGAATCATAGTTATAACTGAATCATTCATTTTGTATACTTTTAGCGTGGGAATCATAAATTTACAATCTACTTCAGCTCTCACTATTTTCCATTCATGTCTCTTTGTGTGTTGAAATCTAATTAGTTTATTATTGAGCAAATGATTTTTACAAATATCAGTGTCCACCAATTCCTGTTTACTGGGTGTTAACATGCAAAGTTTATTATCAGTGTGTGCATTAACCTTTAAAAAGAGTGCTTGTAAATTTTAGTTCAGATTATTTCCTTCCTTGCCTGGTAAACCTGCGAGTGAAAGAGACATTTTTTCCTCCAATATAACTAGTTTCAGGGTATATTTTTGTCTACAAACATCTGCAAATAGTACTTAAAATTAAGTGTTTAGCTAGCTAAGACAGTGATCAAATCTGATTCATCACTGGCGCGAGTGTCAGTGTAAAATAAATGTTATTTATCACTGTAATAAACATGGCTTAGAACCTTTAAATCTAATGGTGTCTTCTTGGCTTGGTGTGGCATCTTTGACTGGTAAAGAAATAAAACCTGGATATAAAGTTGAATTACGTCATATATTTTTGCAAAAAAGCATTTATCTAACAATATATTTTAAACCATGATGCTGCAAAAATGGATGCTATATGTTGAGATGGATGTTTAAAAACAATGGTGGCTTCATTCTTTGTCTCTTCAGCAGACATCATCTATGGTACAGTACATGCAGAATCAAGCAGTTCAAAATATTACACAGACTGACAAGATCCAACTTTACTTTTCGGCATATGTGACATGTTTTCACTGGACTGGAGACAATCGTCGGCAGTTTTCAGTCGGGTTTCCTCCAAATCTCGAGCACCATACGATGAAGTCAATTCAAATTTTCCGAGTTTTAGTTTTACTTTTACTATCACGCTGAGGGGTAGGTAAGTTCAACTTTAACATATATACAAAAAATAAACAAGAGCAGCTGTTACACTGACATCAGAGACAATATAGTTAAGACAATTTATACATTCTGAAATAAAGGAAGGAATGCTTGACGAGAGACAGGGAGAAACGAAAGTAAAGAACTTGGAAGTTCAGTCTGAAACAATGAAAACATCTCTACGTGCACGCGCAACGGCCATCTCGGGTACCTTGCAGCTTACGCCTGTCAGCCATGCCTTAACTCTGTACAGAAATATAGATGTTGCATGCTACAATAGAGCACAGCAACAAGAATATCAACGAGCAGGTCAGATAAATTCACAATTTTGACACTTCTTGATTATTCCATCAAAATCAAAATGGCGTTCCGAAGGTCCGAAGCACTCCTGTTAGATCAATGCACAACATTTGTACCCATTTATTATGAGAAACTAGTTCCTCGTGTTTTTGTTTACAACCCACTTGCGATTACAAATGTTTTGATATTTTGTTAAAGCCAGTAGAATATTAACTATAGCGTCGTTAAATAAGTAAAACCTGTTTTGAATTTATGTGACATTTTGCGACTAGAATACAGGGCGCGGATGTATTTGTGGGCCGGAAAAGGTTGTTGAATTTAGTGCGCATGTGTAGGTTTTCTGTTTACAGGTTTCTGCTGGCTGCTAGACCAGAAGCTGCTAACTACATTTTCCTCCTCTTTTTGAGATAACCAAACTGAAGGAGCTCCCGTCCCGTTAACATATTATGCTGCTTATCGCAACTAAAACACTATAGGTAGCAAGTGGATAGTGTTTTACTACTTTACGGGAAAATATTAAGACATTCGGCTAGTGACACAGTGACGAGTCAATGGAAATTAGAAATAATACAACCTGCAAATTGGGAAAATGATGCCAAAGAATTATTTTTTATTATTTTGCTGTAGTCACGATGTTGATTCATCTTGAGACAGTTTACATTGTAGAGAATGATTGATTGATACCAAGCACCGTATGTTGGGTGACGATATCTCCTATTGCTGAGATTCGAAAGTTCAGTCAATGCCAAGTGCCAGACAATATGAAAACAAGCATTGAAAGTATAGATACAGCATTGGGGATGATTAAACGCCTGAAATCCTGTCGATTGAAAACAAATGCAGAAGTGAGTGAGCACGGGTTAGTTTAAATGCAGATAATCAGCTTTTACTTAAGACTAAGAATGCTTAGAGAAATAAACATACGTTGTGCAAAGACAAAGCAGGCAGTGGGACAATTAACATCATATCTGACATTAAATCCCCCGCGCAAGTTCCGAGCACCATTTCGGGGAGTGGAAAAACAGACCCATTGTCCCCTTAATGAGCATGTCGTACCAGGTAGCTAACTAGGGGTGTTTCCATTAAAGTCGGAGTGTGTCTGCCTAAGAGACAAGAAACCAACAGTGTGCATACAAATAAGCCAGATCTGTAAAACGGATCGTCATGCAAAAATTCAAGTTCTGGAATAAGACCGAAGTCCAGAAGTGGACGAACAACCAGAACTTTCCACTGGAGTTTAAAGCCGTTGAACGCTAAGAAGAAGAAGATACCTGACAGATAAAACGTTGCCTATGGGCTACCTTCTTCCACCCTCTTTTGCATACTGGGTATATAATTCTAGACGTACATTTTATAGACTAGCCGGCACTCAGTGGGTGAAAGGTTCAACATCAAACAGCCTTCACTTCCTATGACTTTACCTGGTACACGTTTTTAAGCTAGAATCCAATGTCATATTTTAAAAAGGAAAAATTCGGATTTGAACCCACAACCTTCTGGCCCGTATGCGACAGACTAGCCGTGGTTACACCGTGGCGGCTTCCCTTGGGCTACGTGCGTGATTGATGATGACTGGCACCTTTCCGTCTTTCCAGACGATAGTGTTATATTGCGCTAAGAGTAGGCATGGGACTCACAGCCCATAGCGATGGCGAGTGTGGCTAGCAAGACCCGTCCGCGTTTTTTTTTTTTTTAGTATCCAGAAGCCATAAGTTGTTAACCCTTAGGCTCGGTGATATCGCAACCCTTCGGCCTTGATTCTATGATAAATACCTTAAATCTGGGAGAAATGTGGCTTTTCTGCCTAGCCCCGGGCGTGAACCAGGACCACAAGGAGTTCGCCACCTGGTCACCGCGCAATCCAGTTTAGCCAACTACGCTAGCGAGCCGGGCACCCGCCCGCGTTAAGAAACGTCTTCCACGGTTACAGCATGGGATTTTAGGACATGTTGTCAACATTTGTGTTTAGTCTGTTTCTTATCAGACGCTCAGTTCTCAGGTAAACCCCGTCCCATTTAGAGTGTCCTCATTATCATCAGTTTCCAGTTTTGCCTTTAAGCTTCGAGAGGGATCCATGGCACACGGATGTAACCTACAAGTTCTCCGTTCTACTTCTAACTCAAGCCTTAGTCTGAAGAATATCAGCGCACTGCGCGAACTCCGTTGCACCGGTGAGGATCCTGAAATACTTTTCGGTAGATTTTCAACTCCAAATTTTGCCCGGGTAGCGCCGTTAGGCTACTCTTTTCTGATTTTCAACTGTCTAGGTATTTTTTACGTGCGCAACAATACACACGGATACTCTGCATTGCTACCAAAAGACCAAGGGACATTACTAGAAGTCCGCGTGAAAAATCCAGTTTCTAGAAAATCTGCAGAAATTATGAAAGAACAGCAGACCAAAAATCAAAAGAATTTAAGACCACTAACGGTGTTAGACAAGGGGATAGTCTCTCACCTTACCTCTTCATTCTTTTGGTGGATGATGTCATCAAGACCTAGTTATCAATCAAGATAAGACAAAATACATGATAATAACAAGACAAGGAGAGGATATAAACTTTGGCCACATACAAATCGATAAAATCAAAATCAAACGAATAGATATACAAAACTACTTGGGTGTAAACTTCAACTACTCCAGCATGCTAAGAGAAGAAATACAATCTAGATTACAGTCTGGAAAAAAAATATACTACGCCCTTCAACATCTGCCAAAGTCTCTCTCTCTCTCTCTCTCTCTCTCTCTCTCTCTCTCTCTCTCTGGCAACATCAAGATCAAAATATATAAAACTTTGATAAGACCAGTCGTTTTATATGGCTCTGAAACTTGGAGCACAACTAAATAAGGTGAAGGCTGGTTTTCTTACGACGAATCTTTGGACCTATCAAAGATGTAAACAGCGGAGAATGGAGAGTGAGAAGTAACAACAAAATTCATAATCTGTTTAAATCACCATTGATCATTGGCATCGTGAGGGCTAATGGTTTGAAATGGCTGGGGCATATTGAGTGAATGTCAGATGATATAAAGGTAAAAACTGTTTACACAATGGAGATGAACGGTCGTTGACCACGAGGCAGACCAAGAAGACCCGCCACAAAATAATGGTGATGACGGATTTGAAATTCGTTGCTTTGATTTTCTTCTTGAAGACAAAAACAATGTGAACACCATTCTCATATTTTTTTTTTTAATTATTATTTTCTTCTTCGTGTCTACTGTAATACGCTTAGGCTTCTTTACAGCATTGTCACTAACCATTTGCACTTTCTTTGGCCCCATTGTGGGGGGTTAATTTTATGCACACACCAAAAAAAAATTAAATCAAAAACAACGCAACTACAGTGGTCATCATCATCAAGTGTCTTGCTAGCTGGCGTTGGCGTACATGCATCTCTACAGATCTCAGTCCTTGGTGTTCTGGATCAATTCCACCGATGATATTCCTTCACGCCGCTGTCCTAAGCCATACACCATCATTTCTCTTGGTCTGCCTTTGCCTCTTCTGCCAGTGATCTTTCCAGTCGTTGCGATATTTTCCAGTGCTCCTTTTTTCTCATAACATGACCAAACAACTTTGTTTGTCTCCTTCTCATTGTTTGATATTATGGTATACTTTCATTAGCCTAATCCAGGTAATCAATGTTAGTTATTCTGGCAGTCCAAGGCATTCGCAACATTCTTCTCAAGAGCCACATCTCATTTGCCTCTAAACTCTTCTTAATTTGTTTTTGTTTTTCACATTCCACGATTCATTTGCCATACAACAATGGTCACAGCGAGCAGATCTGAGTACACCTGATGCTGTTTGATAGCTGAAAACATGGCGCCAAAGCACAGTTTGTGTGTTCGTTGGCCGAGATATTGTTCGCTTGACAGTTAAAAAAATGTCGCAAGTTGTGTTTGGATGCCGATTTTTTAGTAACTAGAAGCGTTCATGACCCGAGATACCACTGTTTACCCACCCACGTTCGACAGCAAGTTATTTCGTAACCTGTCGACCGGGCGGCCACATCATCACCTCACGGCTGAACAATTCTTCCGAGATTTTGCACTAGAAGGATTCTCATCGCTGAGATGTTAATCCTGTAGACTACAATCCTACAGGGAAAAGACTGCAGCTTCGCGGGCTACACCAATACCATTATTAGGATCCGCGGTTAAAGTGGATTTCTAGGATATATTCATGTTTGTCGCTCATCCATGAGATGTTAACCTACAGAATGTAGTCCGAGAAAAAAAAAACACGAGTAAAAAAAATGAAAGTGGGGGGTGGGGGTGGTAAAGTCCTAATTTTACTTCCTAGCCAGACGGACTTTACGTGTATGGTACCGGCTGCCTGATATATTTGTAACGCCGTGACAAAGTCACTTTAGCCTGTTATCATTTTTGATTTGGCTGCACTTGCGAAATAAATCTCACAGCTTCACTGTGGTTTAAAAAGCACGACGCACCGGAAAAAAGGCTCTCTTGGTTTTCCTCATACTGATCCCGCTAGTTGCCCTAGGGACACGAGATCCAATCCATCGGTGGCGGTACCGCACATGGGCTTAGCGGTGTGGGTTCGGGCGATTGAGCGAAGATAGAGGTTGTTAGATCAAAATTTGCCCCAGTAGTTCACCTGTGGTAGATCTAGATATCAATGTTTATCATTGCCCGGAGGTTTTATTTCTTCAGGTAGCTGGAAGCGAACTTTAATCTTTGTTGCCCGGAGTGCTTAACACATGGTCTGTGTGAACACAGTGTTGATCGTTAATGTATTGTTATCTGTGAAGCACGTTGGTTTTGTGTTAAGGAAAATAAACATAGGTTAAATGTGGTGATTATATTTCCAGCTGTTTTGAATCGGAATAGGAGTTGTAGTTAGCGTGCCTAGTCTTTACTGCTAATTAGACGTCATACAGAATTTATCCTATCAGGGCTAGGACACTA